AGTATTTTGAAAATACTGTTTTTTGCTTCAAATCGCATGTCCGGTTGAAAAGAACATTTCTCATATTCTGATGTGAAATATTTTATATACTGAATATTCTACAATGAATAGTGTTAAGCATTGGGTCTAATTTTTAAAACTGGGATTACACACATGTTGAAGGCAAAAATCAAACATTGATAAAATACTAAGATTATTTTGATATTTCCAAAACGGAAATAAATTGGGGTGTTGTGGAAACTACACCAGTTAGTTTGCACACAAAAAAAGAGTCCATTATCCTTGGGACTATTCAGATGAAATGGAGTTTTTTTTTGCTCTGGAAAGTGTTTGGCAGGTTGAATCCTTGTGAGATAAATTCAAGCATGAACATGTCTGATTCAAAATGGGGTGATCCGAGGTGGACTGAGATATATTCACAATGCTTCTTGATTTATAACTGATGACAAATTTGAATATAAGAATATGTCTCTTGACCATCCAAGAAAGCCAAGTGGTGAATTTTGCTTTGAACCATATGTAGCATTATGTTCCTTAAACACATGACAACGTTTATCTCGGTAAACTAAAAGTTGGCATATACACTCGTATTTTTGATAGTTCAGTATTATGTGTATAAGTCAAATGCTTGCGTAATGTGAACAATATAAAATATCAAAACGATAGAACGATTCAGAATTATTTATTTGTTTTGTTTGTTGAAAATTATTTATTTGTTTCGCAAATAAAATATAATTTGATTTTCTTACCTTCTTTTTTTTGGTCAATATTTATATATGATTATATAATAAAAGCGGAAAAATATTTTAGAAGTATTTTGTTAACTAGTTAAGTGGTTTGTACGGAATTCAACACTATTAGTTAGCTTTTTAGCAAAAAAAAAAACTAATTAATTGACTACAACGTTTTAAAAATAATTAATTAAATACCACTTTTAAACCAAAGGTATCCTCTAATTTTATCCCTTTATAGTCAAATAAAACGTATCGATATTATTAAAAATCGGAATTTTTTTCTGAAGTTAAAGAAAAACAGAAATCTAAAACTGTCAGAGAGTTTGAATCACGTCCAAGTCACTTGATGCAAGAAGAAAGCGAAACCAATTAAAACCCGTAAAAACAGAAAACAATAAAAATAAGAACTGAAGTTAATGTCCTAAAATGACACGTGGCCCCACCTTACCATACACACTCACCCTAATTAATTTTCTCACTCTGTATCTTATCCGAAAATTAATCTTCTCCACGTTAAAATAAAATAAACTAATACTAAATAAATCACTCTCTCTTCCTCATTTCACTATAAATACACTACCATACTCTCATCTTCTACATCACAATAAACACAAACTTCACTACCTAAAAAAAACACAAAAAAAAACAGAGAGAAAGACAGAAAAACAAAAAAAAAAAAGACAAAGAAAAAAATACACAAATTTTCTTATCTTTTTTTAAATTTCGTCTATCGTGTTTTTTTTTTAAATGGGAGCTTTTGAAACAGAAAAAACCGCTAAAGATGCGGCGGCTCTAGAGACTCAGTCTTCACCGGAAGAATACAACCAACCATCTCCCCTCCGTAAAATAATCTCCGTCTCTTCCATCGCCGCCGGTGTTCAGTTCGGATGGGCCCTACAGCTCTCTCTCCTGACACCTTACGTCCAGCTTCTTGGCATCCCTCACAAATGGTCCTCTCTCATCTGGCTATGCGGTCCCGTCTCCGGCATGATTGTCCAGCCCATCGTCGGCTTCCACAGCGACAGATGCACGTCGAGATTCGGTCGTCGCCGTCCCTTCATCGCCGCCGGCGCCGCCATGGTCGCCGTAGCCGTGTTCTTGATCGGATACGCGGCTGATATCGGTTACAAAATGGGAGACAAGCTCGAGGAAACGCCGAGGGTCCGAGCCATAGGGATCTTCGCCCTCGGGTTCTGGATCCTCGACGTGGCTAACAACACTCTCCAAGGCCCGTGTCGTGCCTTCTTGGCCGACCTAGCCGCGGGAGACGCGAAAAGAACGCGAGTCGCAAACGCGTTTTTCTCGTTCTTTATGGCGGTTGGAAACGTTTTGGGATACGCGGCTGGTTCTTTTACTGATTTACATAAAATGTTCCCGTTCGCTATGACCAATGCATGCGATCTTTATTGCGCTAATCTCAAGAGTTGCTTCTTCTTGTCCATCACACTCCTCCTTATAGTCACCGTCACGTCTCTTTGGTACGTAAAAGATAAACAATGGTCTCCACCGCCCGTAAACGAAGGCGATGAGACTAAGAGTGTCCCCTTCTTTGGTGAAATTTTTGGAGCTTTTAGAGTCATGGAACGTCCCATGTGGATGCTTCTTATAGTCACTGCCCTAAACTGGATTGCATGGTTCCCATTTCTTTTGTTTGATACTGATTGGATGGGTCGTGAAGTGTACGGTGGAAACTCGGAAGGAGACGATAGGTTGAAGAGTATATACAATAAGGGAGTGCAGTCTGGTGCATTGGGACTTATGTTTAACTCTATAGTTCTTGGTTTCATGTCACTTGGTGTTGAGTGGATTGGTAAGAAAGTGGGTGGTGCTAAAAGGCTTTGGGGTATTGTGAATTTTATTCTTGCCATTGGTTTGGCCATGACGGTTCTTGTCACGAAGTTGGCGGCGGATTACCGGAAAGTTGCTGGTCCTTATGCCGGACCGTCGCCTGGTATTAGAGCTGGAGCGTTAAGTCTCTTTGCTGTTCTTGGTATTCCATTAGCTGTAAGTATTACACAGCTTTTGTCTTTTTAGGTGTTTTTATTACTTTTAAATATTTTTGGCTTAATATAATATTAACAACTTCATATTTTTTTATACAGATTACTTTCAGTATTCCGTTTGCACTAGCCTCCATATTTTCAAGCAGCTCCGGCGCTGGTCAAGGTAAATTTTGTTTTTGATTTAATTTACAAAATCTATAAATTTAATAGTTGAATTAGCATTTATTTATTTTATGTCATTTCATTTCACAGGACTGTCGTTGGGAGTTCTAAATTTGGCAATAGTGATACCACAAATGATAGTATCACTAGGAGGAGGACCTTTCGACGCTCTTTTTGGCGGTGGAAACTTACCGGCATTTATAGTCGGAGCAATAGCAGCGGCGGTTAGTGGAGTATTAGCTATAACAGTTTTACCTTCACCGCCACCGGACGCACCAGTCTTGAAGTCAGGAGCCATGGGATTCCATTAGTTTACTTTTAAGTTTTATTTTGCTTATGAAAGTCATGATCAAATACAGTACTATTGTGCAAAACTGCAAGACCCAAAAGCACAAAAAAAAAAAAAGAACAGAAGATGATAAAATCTAATAAGCTTGGGTTGTCTGTATTTCACCTTCTTTTAGTTTCTGGTTTTTGTTACCGATATCAAATGAAATAGATTTTGTTTTTTTTTTTAATTGTTGTGTTAACTTTGGTATAAAGATCCCCTAAAATACAAAAAAAAATGATACCTGATAATAATTTATTACAGTTCTTTAAACACGAAGAAAAATGTTAAAGTTTTGACTATCAAGAATGGTTGAAGTACCCCAAATTTAAAAATCAAAGTTGGCCAGGCTAGGACATTTTTTTCTGTTTGACTCTATATGAATCACTATATTATGGACCCAACAAAGTTTATGGACTTGTGTTGTATAGCATGAGCCGGAGACTTAAAGGCCTCGAGTGTCCAACACTGAAACCGGGCCTTTAAGGCCTTGCTCAATATGTCTCTAAATCATGTTTTACAAAGGCATAGATTACACCAACTTAGATGAAACGAAATTAATACCAAACCAAACAATACCAATATTAAACCAAGACATAGATTAGCGATTTAATTTTAAAATATGCGGTGGAAAATAACGTTTGGTACAAAATGTAGCCTTACTTCATGATCTAGGCTTGTACTTTATATAGGTTTATAATGATCATGGAAAATAGCTTGACTGACTCACTTACTAAATTCGCTTTTCAGGAGACCAAATAACTATAAATAATTTGCCAATTGCCATATATAGCACGTATTGATTATGCATTACGTCTTGCTATTTACATGTTGTCATGTTCAAACGACAGACTATTCCGGTCAGACTATATACGTACATGCATATCCACAAAAAAAAAGTATGTATGTGATCATTGAGGAAAGTCTTATTCTAGTCCAAGATTATTCAGTCTTCGGCTAATTAAGCATTTTCTATAACAGTTTTATTTTGTTCATGATTAATCTGAAAAAAAAAAATATAGTAATCTGATCAGTTTAGGATAACATGGTAAGTTATCTATTTTCACTGCAAAAAAGGTAGAAGTAAGTTGTAGTGATCCGTATTGATTAGAAGTTCATAGATATGGTGTAATTTTGCCTTTTCCCTAGATTTGATTTTCACTGGAGCACTTTTATTTCCACTTTACCAGTCAAAATGGTGCTATTCAAAAATTAATTACATGCTATAAAATATAAACCAAGTATTTAGTTTTTTTTTTTGTCATCCCTAAGTTTGTTATTATTAATCAGAAATGATACAGTTATTAATTACATTTTTTAAAAGAAATGTTACAGCTATTAAAAAATTATGTATTTTTTTTAAGTAAACACTAATACATGTAAACAAATTAATTAACATGGTTTTTTTAGAAGTCTAATTTGCAAACAAGTACTCCCTCCATTTTGAATTAGTTATCGTTCTAGAGAAAAAAATATGTTTTAAAATAAGTGTTATTTTAAAGTTTTAAGATTAATTTTATATGATATTTTATTTTTTTATTGATTGAAAAAATGGTTAGGTTTTAGGTAATTGTATTTTTATCTTGAAAATAAATAAAATTAAATGTTTCCAAAAACTTAGAATGATAACTAAATTAAAATGAAGGGAGTAACAACGAATAAATATCATGTATATCTTTTTTTCTCAAAAATTTGGCATATCTTATCTTACAAAATAGAGTAAAACAAAAAAATTAATTAACATGCTTTACTAAAAAAGGAAAAAAAAAAAAAAAGAAAGGTGGCGCAGGGGAGAGTGACGGGTAAGAGAGTCTTGTTCAGTCATAAAACTTTCTCTCCCTAAAGCCGTTTCTCTCCTTTTTCGCTTCAAAAACTTCCCCTCTTCACTCCTCACCTACCTATCTCTCTAGATCTCACTCTCCGATCCACAAATCTCACCGGAGAAAAACAGAGTTTATAGTAGCCGTGAAGTCAATTTCCTGCTTAGATCCGATCTGGGTTTGAAGAAAGAGATAAAAAGATTCGATCTTTGAGTGAGAATGGGGGAATCAGGAGGAGGGTGGAGAGATTCTTATAAAGGGATGTCTTCTGATAACATTAAAGGTTTGGTCTTGGCTATTTCTTCTAGCTTGTTTATTGGAGCTTCTTTCATTGTTAAGAAGAAAGGGCTTAAGAAAGCAGGCACTACTGGCACTAGGGCAGGTACATTTCTTCACTTTTGTAGAGCAAAGATTTGTGTTCAAGTGGAGAAAAGCTTGTGACTTTGATAGATTTAGGATTGAGGAATCTTATGTAGTTTGGTTTAGGAGAAGCTCTGAACTCTGTTTCTATGGATGGAACTTGGATGTTATGGAGACAGTTTTGTTGGATAGATTTGTTCTGTTTGGTTTCTTTACTCTCCAGTTATGTTCAAATGGAGCAAAAGGTTGTGTCTTTTGATGGATTGGGAATGAAATTTCAAAGCTTTGGATCTTTCTTCATTGTTGTTGTTTTGGGTTTTGTTTTGGTAGTTTTAACTCGGTTTGGTTACTTGTAGGTGTTGGTGGGTATTCTTATCTATACGAGCCTCTTTGGTGGATCGGCGTGACAACTAGTGAGTCTTGTTCCTTGGCCTTGACTTCTTTATCTCTTCTTCTTAGTGTTGATACTATTTTGTTTTATGCTACTTGCAGTGTTACTTGGTGAGATTGCCAATTTTGCTGCTTATGCATTTGCACCGGCTATACTTGTTACTCCTCTAGGCGCACTCAGTATCATTATCAGGCAAGTGAATAAATAATGCTCATTTTTTACTCTTCTTGTATGCGGTTTAATTGCTTTTTCTTATACACTTTTTTTCTTTTTTTTTGAATCTCAGTGCTGTCTTAGCTCATATCATATTACTGGAGAAGCTACACATCTTTGGAGTTCTTGGTTGTGCCTTATGTGTTGTGGGTTCCACCACAATCGTCCTACATGCCCCTCAAGAACAAGAGATTAGTTCTGTGCTTGAAGTTTGGAATCTTGCAACAGAACCAGGTGCGTTTGTTTGATAGTAATTTGAACCATCTCATGATTCTTTGTTCCCCTTTCATCTAACTTTAGTCTAGTATTGTTGCAGCATTCATGTTCTATGCGAGCCTAATCATTGGGGCAGCTGTGTTTCTCATCGTCCGTTATGTGCCTCAACATGGGCAGACAAATGTAATGGTCTATATCGGTATTTGTTCGCTTGTGGGATCATTATCGGTATGTTGTTTGTTTCTGATATTTCCAGCTTGTAAATCCTATTTAGCTTCGAAAAGAAAAATGATGTTTACAAACATGTGAAACAGGTAATGAGCGTTAAAGCACTTGGAATAGCTTTAAAGCTGACATTTTCTGGAACAAATCAATTATTTTACCCTCAAACTTGGGTATTTACTTTGGTTGTACTTACTTGTGTGGTAACCCAGTTGAACTACTTAAACAAGGTAACTATTAGTAAAGTATTACTCCATGTGTGTAGAATTAGATGTGTTCATTGGTTACTAAACTAATTGCATTTCACTTGCAGGCTCTTGACACATTTAATACAGCTATAGTATCTCCTATATACTACGTAATGTTCACATCACTAACTATATTAGCCAGTGTTATCATGTTTAAGGTAATCTTTCGCCACAAAATGTATATGTATTGTATGTGGATTGTTACTTTTGTACATGAATCAAGTCACTGCTTTTTGTTTTTAAACAGGACTGGGATAGGCAAAATGGTACTCAAATTGTCACAGAAATGTGTGGATTTGTTACAATACTTTCAGGCACTTTTCTTCTCCATAGAACCAAGGACATGGTCGACGGTGCGCTATTTTATTTCACTTTTTATCACTTCAACAAAATCTATACTCTCTACTTGCTAAACTATGAAGAAGAGTGCTATGCAGAGTATATTTATATAGATGTATATACACAATCTTAGCTAGAGTTTCATTCATGGTTGACAAAAAAAATTGCCATCTAGTTTATACATATAATCTTAAATTTTAAGTGTTTGTATACCTACTGAGAGTTTACACCTGATTATTATTGCAGGTTCACCGGTAATATTACCAGTGCGTATAAGCAAGCATGCTGATGAGGATGGGTTTGAATCAGAAGGCATTCCACTTAGACGACAAGAATCTCTCCGGTCTTAAAAGCTTTATTGCTATTTGTTTTCTGGTCTACTGCAACAACCGCAAGCCAGAAAGCCTCAACTTTTTCCCTTATCTCAGTCTACATGGACCATGGTTCTTGTGTCCTAACAAATACATATGGTTCAAGAAGATGGAAGCAAAGGAGGACGAGATCTCACACCATATCTTTCTTATTCTTGGTATATATGCTGTTACTTGATCAAACATACGGTATTAGCCACACACCACCTCTCACGCATAAACCCTTTTGTGACCTTCAAGATTTTTTTACTAAACAAAGATTGGGTTGTGCTTAAATTGGTCTGTGACATGCAATATAAATTAAAGGTTTTCAATTCAAGATTTGCATCTTCTTTCTCCGTTGGTTGGTTTAAACCATTTGACAAAATGAAAACAGAGACTTTGACAATTATAAATCACATGGTTATGACATTGATGTTCATATTTTTCTTCAATCAATCACTGCGTTGGTAGATGAGATGTCAAACTAAAACTGCATTATGTCCCTCTCATAACTCTTTGTGTACATCTCATAACTTATAGAGAGTAGTTAATCAACAATATAAATTATTTTAAACTATATTTCAGCATTCAATCTCTCTTAAACATATACCTAAAATAGAAAATTAGAGTCGACTGATTGAGAAATTAATTGTATGAAAATAGCAAATAAATATGCTAAAACCATATGAAAAGATCTCTCTCTCTCTGCTTACACCAATATTACCCACAAGAAAAAACAAAAAGAAACTGGTAGTAGTTGAACTATAAAAGAAACTAGAGAAGAAAAAAAAAAGAACAGAGCAACAAATCCAACATCACCAACAAAACACACAACCTGTGTGTGTTTTAATATCTCCTCTTCTTCTTTCTACGTTCTTGTTTCTTGATCCTAGAAAAAAAATGGCTGTGGACAGAGTGTGTTCAGAAGAATTTAGCTTCCCGTTGCTCTCTTCCCGAGTTTCCAGCATCGGTTCACCTCCACTGTGGAAACACTCTCCCGAGAATTTCAACCGAAGAGATAACAATCAGTCGATGAGCTTCTCTTATGCAGGGAGGAGAAGTTTTTGGACAGATAAAGCAGAGGAGAAGATGGATATGTTGTGGGAAGATCTTAACGAAGAACTTCCTCCAAGAAGCAAGAGTCTTAGCATTGAGTCTAGCCGAGATGGCGGAGAGAAGAGATGGTGTTTGTTATCCGACGAGAGCTCTGCAGTGTCCGTGGAGTGCGGGATGAAGTTAAAGAAGAAGAAGAAGAAGAAGACAAGGCAGAACGTGTTGGTGTTGATGAGGGTTTTGAAGAAGTTTCTTGTTTTAACAAGTTCTTCGTCTCAGAGATCTCCCGCGAAAACTCATCCACGGTGAATGATTCTCACCGTGGTAACTAAGGGGGTTTTGTGTAGAATTTATTCATTAAGAATTTATAAGGTGAAAAGTAGAAGAGAGTTAGTTTTTTTTATATGATTTCACCGCCAGAATATTAATTAAGTTCTGTTTGAAAACATTCCAATTGTGTTGTTATGATATTTGCCTTTTATGCAAGATTTGATACCACTAATAAATTTATGATCGGAAAGATATAATATGATGATTGAATATTTTATTCAGATATTGATGATACAGACACACAATAGCAGAAAAGATGAGTAACGATTAAAGTTTTTACATAGTTGAATACAACCCATCTTTTATCAATACGTAGTAGTTATGAATACAACCAGCATAATAATAGACTCATTAACGAAGTAGTTATTTTATCGAATTTATACTCCATCTTTTCTGTTTTGTATTACTCTGTTTAAAACAATTTATTTTTATCACATTCCAATATTATAAATAATTGATTAAATCTGTCTTAAAAAATCCTTTTGCATCTAACATGATTTGCATTTTCACAAAATAATTTTCAACAGTGAATAATGTTAGTATTGAACAATAAAACGTTCCATATAGATGTACATATAACATAGTTATACATGATACTATACTATTTACTATGTCATACTATATTGTTTCCTAATAAAATTCAAACTTACTCTTCTGTGTGTTTATGTAAAATTACATCACTATGTATGTTATATATATATATATATATATATATATATTTTCATGCGTTAACACAAATACAAAACATACAAATGATACAGTTTTACATAACACACACAAGTTGCTCAAGAAAAAACATACACACACAAAAACAATAAATAATTTGATTACCTACTACTCACTCCAAATCCTTAACCGAACCGAATCTCCAAAACCGGGTTACGGATTCAACTTCAGGTTCCTCATAATCCGGTTCCAAAATTCTCAGCCTATCCGACTCTTCAGAACATAAAAAAAGACCCCAACTTTGTCCGCAAATCACAAGTGGGTCATAAAAAAATCGAAGCTTTTGTCTGCTTTTTACTCTCTCAGCGACGCCTCTTCTCGCCTACTCTCTCTCGTTGACTCCACTTTGCTCCTCTTATCTGACAACTCTCAGGTATGCACCTCAAAGCTTCCATCTTTAACCGGTGAAATCTATAGATTAAACTGATTCCACGTAAGCTTGCGCAGAACAGAAAAGAATCTGATGGGTGTGATCGATGTCCAGGGCCCCCCATCGTCTTACATTCTAAGAAAGTCTCAACCTTTGAGGAGAAACATCACTAGGGTTCACTGTGTTAAGACCACAAGTGAGAAGTTAACCATGGGAGACTCTTTTATCCGACCACACTTGAGACAACTAGCTGCTTATCAGCCAATCTTACCCTTTGAGGTAACATTATTAACTTGATTAGATTTTGGATTCATGTTTCTAAAATGCTTAATATGTGTGTTTGGGGAATTAGGTTCTGTCTGCTCAATTAGGAAGAAAGCCTGAGGATATTGTCAAGTTAGATGCTAATGAGAACCCTTATGGTCCTCCTCCTGAGGCAAGTCCTATCTATTTCATCTCTCATTCACATATATGTTGATGGTATTAAAAAAAGGGATGATTTTTTAATGCTCTCTTTAGGTTTTTGAAGCGTTAGGTAATATGAAGTTCCCTTACGTCTACCCTGATCCTCAAAGTCGTAGGCTTCGTGATGCACTTGCTCAAGACTCTGGTCTTGAGTCTGAGTACATTCTTGTTGGTTGTGGTGCTGATGAACTTATCGATTTGATCATGAGGTTTGTGGCCTTGAAGAGGATTTTTTGAGCTTCTTCTTTATCTAAACTGTGTTTTCCTGACTAGAATGTGTGTGTGTGTGTTTTTTTTGCAGATGTGTGTTGGATCCTGGGGAGAAGATTATAGACTGTCCTCCTACTTTCTCAATGTATGTGTTTGATGCTGCTGTCAATGGAGCAGGTGTCATAAAAGGTAAGAGATTCATACTTCAGTCTTTTTCATCTATCTCTTGATGCATATGGTCTTAGTAGGTCTGGGTGTTCAGGTACCCGTTCGAGTTAGGATCGAGTTTTTAGCCTCCTGTGGTACTAGTAAGACTGTCTTAGTCACGTTGGTCTTACAAGGCATGTGTGTTTAGGTACCCATTAGAGTTAGGATCAGAGTTTTTTGGGTTTTTGAATTCTCAGGTTCAGCCTCTTATGGTCTTGGTCACGTTGGTCTTAGAAGGCAGGAGTGTTCAGGTACCCATTCGAGTTAGAATAGAGTTTTTTTGGGTTTTCAGGTTTTCGGATTCAGTCTCCTATGATCTTAGTAAGACGTCTTAGTCACGTTTGGTCTTTATTTTGCTTTCACAGTTCCAAGGAACAGTGATTTCAGCTTGAATGTAGACCGCATTGCTGAAGTTGTTGAACTAGAGAAACCCAAATGCATATTCCTAACGTCTCCCAACAATCCAGATGGGAGGTAACACCACCCTAAACATCATCAAAGATATGTTTTAGTTTTTCATGATTGATTTGAGTTTTGTTTTGTTACAGTATCATCAGTGAAGATGATCTGTTGAAGATCCTTGCCATGCCAATACTTGTTGTCCTAGATGAAGCCTACATCGAGTTCTCAGGAGTTGAATCAAGGATGAAATGGGTTAAAAAGTATGAGAACTTAATCGTTCTCCGCACATTTAGCAAACGAGCTGGTAAAACTCTACACACTCTTCAAACAATAACATTGTATAATATAAAGTCTTTATCTAACAGTTCTCATGCCATTTTAAAGGTTTGGCCGGGCTTCGAGTTGGATATGGAGCGTTTCCATTGAGCATAATCGAGTACTTGTGGAGAGCCAAGCAACCATACAACGTCTCTGTTGCAGGGGAAGTAGCAGCACTAGCAGCACTCTCAAACGAGAAGTACTTAGAAGATGTGAGAGACGCGTTGGTACGGGAAAGAGAGAGACTCTTCGGGCTTTTGAAAGAAGTGCCGTTCTTGAATCCTTTCCCTAGCTACTCTAACTTCATTCTCTGTGAGGTTACATCTGGAATGGATGCAAAGAAGCTGAAAGAGGATCTGGCTAAGATGGGTGTGATGGTGCGTCATTACAATAGTCAAGAGCTTAAAGGTTATGTTCGAGTTTCTGCTGGAAAGCCTGAACATACTGATGCTCTCATGGATTGTCTTAAGCAGTTTTATTGACTTTATCATTTGTTTGGAACTCATTGAAACAAATGAAAAGACTGTTATGAGTTCTCTGTTTTTTTAGTTTGGGATCACTTTGTTGGGTTAAATCTTTAAGACTTCAGTTAATGAGATATTTGCAATAAGAGAAGCCTTTCTTGTATTGTAACTTTATGGTTTGTTAATGGGCCTAAAACTTAATGGGCCTAAGACAAACATGTTGATGGAGCCCATTGAAACTGAAACAGACATTTAATATGTGATCTAGAGTTGGCTAATTCATATATTTTAAAGTGCACCTTAAAGCCAAAATAAATGCTAGAAAGGTGGTTCATTTCAGAAGGTTCCATATTTTATGAAATATTTCGTACAATAACACAAATGGTTGTCCTTTGTTTGATAAAAGCAACCAAACAATTTGTTAAATATTAAGAAAAGTTGATTAGAGTTTTGAAGAAGGTTTGTTATTTTAAATAATTAAGCTATAAAGGAGGCTAAAAGAAAGACAAAAAGAAAACTAAAATTACAAATGGAAGAATAAGTATGAGAGAAGCAATAGGATCAAAGAGACAACTTGGGGTGTGTGGGCCGACATGCCATCATCAGACTCGGAGCCTCTCTGTTCCACTCCTACCTCTAGAAGCTTTTGCTTCTCTCATCATTACATTTTCAGTTTCCTTGTCTTATTAATCCATTGTTAAAATACATTTTGAACCATTGATAGATAAAAGTTGAATCCCACTTATCCATTTATCGAAATTCAATATACTTGTTATTTTATCAGCACATACAGATATAATAATAATATTATAATTATTTATTAATACAGAAAAATTATAATTTAAAGATTATTATGATAAGTTTAAACGAAATATTAAATAACTTCTATATGACCAAGTTATAATTTTGACTATTCTAAAAGTTATTTTAAAGGAAAGCTTCATTGTGTCATATACTCATCGATGGTGAAACTACTTAGAACAAAAAAAAAACTCCTAGAAATAACTTAAATTACTCGTGTCTCGAATAAAAGTTGCAAGTGTTTTAACTCAAAACTAAAACTAAAACTACAGTTAGCTTCTAAATAGTGTATAAGTTGTATTAGTGTGGATATATCGGTTGAGTAAACATATAAATGAACAAATTTTTGTCAAAGATATATAATTGAACTTATCAAAATTATAAATATAAAGACATTTTTAATCCAAGACTTGTACGGTACACACGCAGAAATTATACAAAAATAAATAAAGATAATGGAAAAGAAAGATTTGGTTCTGGAAGGTCTTACTTGGTTTTATGTTGTCGTTGATTTCACTCATAACATGATACAAAAACAAATGATCAAATAATAATGAGAAACGTTTAAAAATTTCTTGAGTAGAATGATTTAAATAGTAATAATAATAGTATGAAGCTATTATTTGACATATTGTGATAGAGAAGCAATCATGCTAAAATTAAAAATCAAAAATTATATGAGCAGTCCCACGCTAAACCGCCTCAAACAAAACACTCAAAGATATATATGCCTGCAAGCTTTCTCTCCACTTCTGATCTCTCTTCAGACATCATCAAAGCTGATCCTAAATTAAGCCCGTTGAAACATTCGTCTGAGGCCCCAAAAATTTTGAAAAAATTTATATGTATTTAGTTTCCAAATTTTTTTTTTAAATTCCCTAAATTAGTTTAAAAAAAAATTTAACTAAAATTTTCAAAAAATCTTCTAAAGCCTCCAAAATTTCAAAGCCGGTCTTTGACATCATAGGTGATATTGATAACTGTTTTTGCTAGGGTTTAAATATTAATTATCTATATGAAAAATGAAAGGTTAATGAGAAGTCTTGGGCTTAAAGGTTATCAAATAGAATGTGAAATATGGAGACGAGTAGGGGAGGCTATAGGGGTCACTTGGAAAATTAGTGGTCGATTTTCATACACCGTCCGTTCATAATTAATTGCGGCTAATTATAGCTTCTGTTGATCATTATTTACGCCAATTTGAATTCCTCATTTAATCTTATATCATCATATGAGTATTTTCCTCATTTTAACAGATGATTCTCTCGAATAGATTTTTTTATTTTTTTTATTAAAAAATCGATTTCAAAAATAAAATAATTAAAATAATATTTTTTATTTTTAAATTTTTTATTTTTAAATTTGAAATCCTATCAATAAAATCTCACTCCTTAACTCTAGACACAAATGTCTAGAATTAATTAACCCAAAAAACTATAAATATATCATTATTTATTTTTATAAATTATTTAAATCTATTTTTTGATTATTTTTATTTTTATGATCTATATTTGTGACAAAAAAGTTTTTAAGGCTATCCTAAATTTTTTTTTCTACTATTAATATTCCATCATTTTACTTTTCGTTTAAATAACAAAACTTAGTTGTTAGGGAATTATCACCTGCGATAAATCCTGCAATAAAATTTTTGCGATATATTAACACGAGGCGGGAAAAGACTAGTTGACGCCGTTGGTTCAACTGAGTCTGAGCTCTGAAAAAATAAAGCTACTTGGAGTCCTGAAAAGACTAATATCTGTACATTATTATTCAGGTTTAGATCATCTTCAACTTCACTCAATAATTTACCGCAAAATAAAGTGGGAAATAAAATGATGAAAAAATAAAAAAGTGATTACTTTAAAATCACATGTAAACGATCAATATGAGTACGTCCCACATAATGAGTTTCTTATTTCATTTAATGGATAAACGTAGATGGTAGCTTGAGATATTTTATAAATTAGGGTTTGCAGTTTAAAGATAGACATATACTATATATAGTGTTCAGATTATTCATATATAACGAAAAATTACTCGCCTACAAAGTGTGAAATAGAACATGGGGACTATTTTCTGAACCTTGTCACATAAAGACAAATTTAAAATCAATGGCTATGTGATGATCGAAAACTCGAAGATTATATATATAGCCTATGAGTAATGTATCACCAATAATCACTTATTATTTCTTAATTATTATTGTTCACTTAGATTATCTTTCAGGATTCAATTTTTTGGTGAGGTTATTGGAGAAAAACATATTAAAGTATTTCTGCCATTAAACATTGATTCATACTCCTTTCTTTTCGTAATAAAATGTCACTTTAACATCTTTCTTTTAGATTAAGAAATTGATTGAAATGAATTTATATAAATAAAATTATTTATAAACTAATACAATTTGCAATTAAACTGAAAATAAGTATAATTTTGTATTTGATATTCTAAACTGATAGTTTAGTATAACACGGAATTTTTTTTGCTTAAAGCAAGAAGAAACATAGAGGGATTAGCTAATAATCGCAACCACTGTTACAGTTAGGAATAGTATTTTAAAAGGCATATATAGTAGAGTATAAATACATAACTCGATGCAAAAAGTTATACCATTAAAACTTAGAAGGAAAAAATAGATAGAATAGAAACACAATGATTTATTGGTGGATCCTCTATCATGAACGTTTCCGTATGTTTAAGATCTGTGAATAATTTGCTAAGTTATTAAATAGCAAAAACAGAATAGTTAATATGTTTGCTTGCATGCAAGTGAAATCGTATATGGACTTACACCACTCCTAATCACAACAATGGTTAGTTGGTTACAGTTAATAATTTTTTTTTAAGGTACGGTAGAATATACAAATATATATAATTTGATTCTTAAAGTTATACCATTAAAAATAGCAAGAATATCTCGATAGAAACACAATGATTTATTGGTGGATTCTCTATCATTAACTTTTTCGTATCTTTAAGACATGCGAATAGTTACTAAGTTCTAAATAACCAAAACAAAATACTTATTAAGTTGCTTGCATTGCATGCATAATACCCATATAAACTTACACCACTAAGCACTATACCAAACATGATTTTTGTTATAAAATTCCGACCAAGCGAAATCAAACCAGCGAACTTAAGAACTGCTTAAACAATCTACAAAGAATCTACCGCTATATACCAAATGTGCTAACGTCTAAAATATCAAGAAAATAGTATTCTTCAGTTTTTATTGTCATACAAATATATATGTGATAATTCCAGCAGGACGAGTTAAAAAAAAATTAGGGGCACAATATCAAAATAACAAAAAGAAAAAAAAAAGACAGAGGTATTTATTCGTTAAAATAAGATATTTAATCAAATTAACTTAAGTTTTTTTTTAAACATTTGGATTCAGATTTCAAGTGAGTTGTATATATAGTTTAATGTTTAAGTACATATTTTTTGAAAAAGATTGACTTTATGCCTATGTATTATTAATATATACCTGAATAAGTGTCGTAAACACTGAACTATAGTAATAATATTGTTCTCCGACCCAAAATAACCTCATGTGCAATTTTAGCCACTTCATGTAATATTATATTTTTTTCTTTTTAAAATTACAAAAGTGGTAACTTGAATAAACGTATAGAGGGCTGTTTCTAGATACAGGTCGTTATCAAAGTTCAGTTATGATGGAATCCAGGACAAGATCCTAACTCTTTCAGCCAAAGCAAATATTTTTTCTTTCTTTTTCAGGAAACTTTCTTTTTATTTAATCTATTTATCTTAAATATCACAAAATATCATATTTGACCTTTCAATCAGTCTCCTGCATCTTGTATTGCTGCACTATTCAATAGGCATTTGTCTATATTCAAGGCATTGCTCCATAGTTTTATTCAGGTGTACTACAAATTCTCGAATATTTGTTGATATATTAGGCATCGCTCCATAGTTGAATTCAGGTATTTGATAATAAAACATTGTATAGTAATAAAATAGTGATGTTCAAACATAAGAGTTGATAAGTTGATGCATTTACCATCATATCGTGTTGATTCCCTCAAATCTCATATATAATATAATAATACGCGACTAACCTCAAAGTGTGACCATTGGAAAGAAGCTGTGTGTGGCCATAATTTTATAGTCCAGTATATTAGCATGTTGGGATTTTGATGATCAGTCCAATAGAAATGGATTATATAAGAAAGGTCGGTAGATCACATCAGACTGTAATGATTTTTTTCAGATTAAGTTCATGATTTACATTCACCCAAATAGACAAACAGTTCTTCTTAAAACTTTTTAAAATTAACCAAATAGATAGGTATATGCAAACAACTTATTCATACTAAATTCGAATGACAACAGTAAAGGATGGAATGATTTGTTTGCTAACTATATCGAGTTTTGGTCGATCAAAATCGGGTTAGCCTGTCTACCTCTGGTCACAAAATTGTTTTAATAAACAAAATCAGACATTTTAAACAAAATTTAACCAAATTGAAGCATTCTTGCTATTGTATGCATGACTCTACGGGATAAATTTTTCTTAGGATCAAGGATTTCCTTAGATTCTATATTAGACTTTTTCCAAGAAGAACGATAGACCTTCGAGTCTTTGGACCAATGTATCAAATTTTTACAAGATATGGGCGTGATATTTATAACCTTTTAAGTCATGGACGGTAAAGTGGCAACCTCCATAAAATTGTGCGTCTAATGTATCAATTACTTTTGTTCTCATGCTTTTAGAATTTTACTTATAGTCAATTAATAAATGTCGTAAGGTATTAAACCGACCAGCCAATAGTTACACTTACATGTAATCATCGACCAATTTACAGTGGCCTCACTATCTTCTACAGTTAACTCTTGGTGGATAAAAAAAACTTAAGATAAGAATTTCAATTAAGAACAGCAGCCCGTTGACACTGCGGGTGAAAAATATAAAACCACTAAATGGTAATGCAACGTTAATTATTTGATTAACTAGACTACTTGCCTACTATCCTCAATAATTACCGTTAACCATGATTAGTGTTAGATTGTCAAGTACACACTAGGCGCACTATGATTCTGACCATTGATCTACATGGTTCAATACATTATCATTACAGGAAATATATATATATATATATATATATATATATATATATATATATATATATATATATATATTCACTTTCTGAAATTCATATGACAAAAAAGAGAGCATACGTGTGAAATGAATACATTTCAAATGATATCATCTTATCTTATGTATTAATACATAAACACTGTTGAATTCCTAAAATCAATCTATACGTAATAGATACTAAATCATTTTTGGAACCACAGAGGGCAGACTTATTATATATTCTGAGAGTTAGAGACATTATGATTAGGGAAACAAAATTAGGGATAGAGGCACATGTATAAAGTTTATATGGTGACAAAAAGTGAAAGGGTTTGTGGGTAAATCCCAATCCTTGGGATTTAAATGAAAGACTCCTTTTTCACTCACGCAGTAGACACTAGAAAAGTAGGCATGCATGTGAAACTAATCAAAATCAATTGCTCTTTCCCCTCACTTCTCAATCCAGATTTTAATCAATTGTTCCCATTAAAAACTTCTCAATCAATTTTTTTCCATTAGAAACTTCTCAATCCAGCTTTTATTCAATTCCTATTCCAGTACCCATATCTAACTATTCTCCAACGAAAAACTTTTTATTTTTCTATATACCCATTTTCCATTGATTTCCGTGCCACCCTTTGTTGTCATACATAGTACATTCTACAAATTTTATTTTTTAGTTTTTTGGATATTTCTTAGACTAGAGTCAATGAGTTACTGAGATGATGTCATAAGCCGAAAGATGAGGTAAAAAGTAGAAACAAAAAGACAGCAAACGGCTTTGATTGGGCCGGCAAGCGGATATGGATGAGGAACAAAACGATTAATGATGTAATACCATCTCTAGTTCACTTCTATTTTATAATATTTCTCTATATTTTTTTCTAAAATATAGAAGTTTTATTATAAAATCATATATTTGAGTTAATCTCCTTATATAATAATTATCTTTGTTTTAAAAGGAAAATATAGAATATAGAGCAAAAATACTGTAAGAAAAACATGTATTTTTCCATGTGTCAAAAACCTTTGATGACATGTGTGAAGGACAGTGCCACCAACCAGACAATGGGAACTGGATTGCTGGAGAAAGACTTAAGAACATCATCCTCTGTTTTACTCTTCTATTATTTTTTTATATAATGTAACAAATACACACGATTCGCCATGTTTAATGGCCAATCGTTGGTTCCTTTAGGTTTACTAAAATAGCATTACAATTATGTTCTAAAGTATGATAGACTAGTATATAATTTTGATTAAAAAATCAATCAAAACTTATGGTTTTATCTAGAGCATTTTATGACCAATAAGAAACATATATATAATCTATGTGATTATTAGTAAACAATATATATACAATTAAAAGAAGTTGGGTTGTGAGTAACTGCCAGTAAAGTGGAGAAGCTTGGAAAAACTTTAAACAAAAAAATGCGGTTAGAGAGAGAGAACCGTCCAAAAACAAGCGTAGATGTCTAGCCACGCGCAATCAAACCCTTGTTGGATCTCCATCCTCTTCTTCTCCATCTCCTTATATCATCATTTTGTACCCACATGAAACACACATCCATTTATATAAATAAGCATATTCACATCATAAAACACTAACATTTCTAGATGGTTCATCTACATGTGATCTAATCAACAGCCAAGCTCTTGACTCTCGTTTTATTATTATATAAACTCATCCAATCCACAACAGAGGATTCAAAGTCTCATCTCCTTCTTCCTTTTAGATCGTCGTCCTTCTGGAAATCTCTTACAAACAACATCTTCACAATATCTCTTCGTCCAATCTATATTGTCCCGTAAGTTTCATGATGAATCCATCATTCCTTTTCGGTATTTATATTATCTAATATCCAAAAATATTATGTATATATAGGATATATACATGCATGAATGATGCATACAGGTTTATGTTTTGCATTTTCATCATATACATATTACACACATATAGTATGTGATCGTTTTGTATATACGTAGGCTGTATGAATATTCATACAAATGTGTATTTGTGGACATTGACCCACAAAACATAGAGTAAACGGAAATGAAAGAAAGGGGCGAATTTCGGAATATATGGTTTTTTCCACGAAATAATTATTGTTCCTTAGAAAGCAATTTATGTTGCACCATTAAAAGAAAAATATAGATAGTATAGGGATATAACTCGATACAAGAGTGTGTGATACATTCATAGGAACATCAACTTCATTGACTTCCACCCGTTAAGCTGCTCGGCCATTTATATAATTATCTTCCATATACAATATGACTATATATATTTAAGTTCTTATATAATTATCTTCCATTTTGTGTGTGTAGTTCTTGTATATTTAAGGTCTAGTAAAGATACCTTATGTTATAGTATATATATATAATGTATAAACTTTGAATCTTATCGTTTCTAAGCATCGAACTTTAGTTATTAATTTATTTTCTTGCAAAATCCCTTCATTGTTGGGTGGTCCCATGGAAATACATCATATATAACCATCATCATAAACTTATGATAGCTAGAGACTTAAGCTTAAAGATCTAAGATTTTGGGTTCAGTATCCATATACATATGAAAATTATATACATGTGTGTGTGTGTGTGAATGAGAATATTTGTAGATGTTGATATATTATCTATCGTGTGTCCGTGTGTAATATCACTACATTCTCCAAATCATTACTAACCCAACACAGCTTTTAGAATTTCATTGGACCCAAGAGCCATTCGATCCATTTCTTATAATTAAAAGAAGCTTCTAACACGATTTAGTTTTGGTCCAAAAAATAAAACCAAAAGGTTGTGCCTTGTTTAATTTGTCTCAAGATATATTCCTTCATATCATTCTCTTCTCTCTCATTTCTTCATCTCGTTCCTTACTCATTTCTCTAACAATTTCCCGAATATATACGTTTATAGGATCATTTTGGATGGACAACATAATGCAATCGTGTATGCCACCGGGATTCCGATTTCATCCAACAGAGGAAGAGCTCGTTGGTTATTACCTAGATAGGAAGATCAGCTCCATGAAGAGTGACTTAGATGTCATTGTAGAGATTGACCTCTACAAAATGGAGCCATGGGATATTCAAGGTAAGAACATGTATTTTGTATAATAGTTATTCTTTTGCATGGAATAGCAGTCCTTTACTTAATATATGATCTTTCAAAACCAACAATATGCGATGAAATTGGCATGCGAAATGAGTGAGAAAGCCTACTTTCTTTGACTTGTAAGATTTTATAAACGTGAGTGTGAAAAGAATATCACAGAAATATCAAGGGATAGTACAATCATAAATCATAATAACCTCATTTGAAAATAAACTAGTTGAATTTTGAAAGTGGGAAAGTAGAATTATATCATATATTAGCCCAATTACACTTTACTACATTTTGAATCTTTTTATTTCAATACGAATATGAAAATATTTTGTGATGTAAGATATTTATGAAATTAATATATGGTACAATGTTGCACTGCAGCGAGATGCAAACTAGGGTATGAAGAGCAAAATGAGTGGTACTTTTTTAGCCACAAGGATAGGAAGTACCCGACCGGGACTAGGACCAATAGAGCCACAGCCTCCGGATTCTGGAAGGCCACAGGTAGAGACAAGGCGGTGCTTTCAAAGAATATTGTCTTAGGAATGCGGAAGACACTTGTCTACTACAAAGGTCGAGCTCCTAATGGAAGAAAATCAGATTGGATCATGCACGAATACCGCCTCCAAAACTCCGAGCTTGGCCCGGTTCAGGTACACATCAAACCAATAATCTAACAAAATAAAAGTAAAATTAATACTCATCTCGGATCAACTTAACTATATGCCATATTGAGATGAAAGAAGATGAATATATGTTACATGAACGGACTATAAATCAATTACCGTTATTTTGTGCACACTATAGGAGGAAGGCTGGGTGGTGTGTCGAGCATTTAGGAAGCCGATTCCAAACCAAAGGCCATTAGGTTACGAGACATGGCAGAACCAGCTTTACCACGTTGATAATAGTAACAACTATTCATCTTCAGCGACAACGAACACAAGTCACCATATCGGTGCCTCTTTATCAAGCCAGAACCTTAACCAAATGGTCATGAGTAATAATCACTACAATGTCAATAATGCATCCTCAACGATGCATCAATATGGCAACATCGAGCTCCCACAGCTGGACAGCCCTAGCTTGTCGCCGAGTTTAGTGACAAATAAAGATCAGAACGAGAGTTTGGAGCAAGAAGAAGAGAAGAGTTTAAACTATGTGGACTGGAGAACACTAGATAGCTTGCTTGAGATACAAGTCACACATCCACAAAACCCTAATGTCCTTATGTCTTCGTTCGAAACGCAGTTGTATAACACGGGACAGAGCTTCCCTTCCATGCATCAAAACTATAACTATGAGGTCGAAGCTAATATTCATTATTCTCTTGGATGCTTTCCTGACTCCTAAATTTTTGTAAAAGAAATTTCTATATTTATTTGTATAATTGTATTCTATTATTTAATTGTACCACCTGGAAAATTGTATCATCTATAAGTCTATTTGTAAAAGAAGTTTGTGTGTAATACGTCCAATTTTCTTGGTGAGTTTCAAGAAGGTGGAATTTTTTTAATTATCTTTTTCTTGGTCTTTTCCATTCGAACGTGTAGCCATCCATTCCACCCCACTTAATTCCAAGAAATTATCTTTTTCTTGGTCTTTTCCACTCGAATTTGTAGCCATCCATTCCACCCCATTAATTAGTTCCAAGAAATTGAGCTCATTATTATACCTAAACAATTTACGGTAGTAGATATATCAATGGTGTTAGGATAATGTAACAGTAGAGACTTACGTTTCAAACTTCAATCAAAGTCCAACAAATATTATTATTTTAAAATATTGGAGAAATTTACCATTTCGAAAGTCATATTGCTCGACGTACATATATAACTACAATGTTATAAACATATTACAATGTGAAGAAGATGAAACAAAACAGAAATTAAACATAACAAGTATGAACAAAGGATTTAATATTTGACCAAGAGCCAAGACCATATCATTCACTCTTACACACACAGATAAAATGATAAACGTTTGCAGGATCGGCCTTGGACATAGTGACATAAAACATCTGTTTTGGTTAATTGGTTCACAAAATATTATTTATTTTGTTTTATATTAAGTGCTAATAGAAAAATATACTGTTACAAAATAAATATTATTTTCAGTTTTCAATGTCAAATTTATTTATTTTTTTTATACAATTTCTTTTTCTATTAGTTGAAATATAGTTAGGTGTATATCTTATTGTGTTTTCATTAACTTGTATGTAAAATTTTAAAAATGACATTTATAATGAGAAAAAAGGAGTAGCAGTTAGTATATATAGATCATCATGCAACCTACAAACTGACTATAAAATACTCCATAACCCTCTCACAGAACCAGAGTTTTTAATTTCCCAAAATTTGAGTGAGAACCTCTGTCTCAGCTAGTATAGTACCCTCTGACAAGTCTCTGTCTCCGATAGCGACACGTTTCCAGTTAAAAACATGTTCCCACCATCGTGTCTAAAAGAACAAATAAAGCAACCTGATTGATTTTTCTGTCGGAAACTAGTACTCATGAAGTTGAAACACAGTTAAATATCCACTAATTCGAAACGGAATCTCTTCAGATCATTGTAGATGAATTAAGATCCCAATCCAAACTTCCTTTGGATGCATTCTTCTGTAATGGCTCCAACGCGGAATCTAATCCGAGACGAAGAGCTTGGATCCATATCAGACGAAGAAGAAGATTCTCCATCTGGTAAACGATCAAAACTCGATCGGTTCCCTCTAAGCCGATGGGAACTAGCAGTATCTCTCGGCGTCTTCCTCGTCTTCTCCTCAGGTCTCCTCTGCATCTACATCACAATGCCTTCTGCAGAGTTCGTCAAACTCAAGCTCCCAAGAACCATCTCTGATCTCCGCTTGCTCAAGTATACTGATAAAGACTCAAACTTTCTATAATATTATCGATTTTTTGATAATGGGTATTGACAAAGTTGTAACCTTTGTTGTGTTAGAGACAATTTAGCAAACTATGCTAATGAGTATAACTGATAAAGATTCAAACTTTTTATAGATAATCGAGTTTTTGATAATGGGTATGATTAAAGTTGTAATCTTTGTTGTGTTAGAGACAATTTAGCAAAACTATGCTAATGAGTATAAACTGGTAAAGATTCAAACTTCTTATAAGAAAATCGATTTTTTTTATAATGGGTATTTATAAAGTTGTAACCTTTGTTGTGTTAAGAGACAATTTAGCAAACTATGCCAATGAGTATAAACTGATAAAGATTCAAAGTTTTATAGGAAAATCGATATTTTGATAATGGGTTTAGTTGTAATTTTTTATGCCAATGAGTATAAACTGATAAAGATTCAAATTTTTATAGGAAAATCGATATTTTGATAATGGGTATTGATAAAGTTGTAATTTTTTTTGTTGTGTTGTGTTTTAGAGACAGTTTAGCAAACTATGCCAATGAGTATAACTGATAAAGATTCAAACTTTTTATAAGATAAATCGATTTTTTTGATAATGGGTATTGATAAAGTTGTGATCTTTGTTGTGTTTTTCAGAGACAATCTAGCGAACTATGCGAATGAGTATCCGGCGCAGTTTGTTTTAGGGTACTGTGCCACCTACATTTTCATGCAGACGTTTATGATTCCAGGGACTATCTTTATGTCACTTTTAGCTGGAGCTCTGTTTGGTGTTGTCAAAGGTGTTGTCTTGGTTGTTTTCAATGCTACCGCTGGTGCTACTTGTTGTTTTTTTTCTTTCTAAGTTGATTGGTCGGCCGTTGATTACTTGGCTATGGCCTGAGAAACTAAGATTCTTTCAAGCTGAGGTAGATAGAGCTCCTTACTTTTGCTTAATGAATCATCTTTGTAAGGATTGTGATGATTGGTTGTGTCATGTGTGTGTTTCAGATTGGTAAGCGAAGAGATAAGCTTCTGAACTATATGTTGTTTCTGAGGATAACACCAACACTGCCCAATCTGTTCATCAATTTGGCTTCTCCTATAGTTGATGTACCTTTTCATGTCTTCTTTTTGGCGACATTGGTTGGTCTTATTCCTGCAGCTTATATAACCGTCAGGGTAAGCCTTTACAATACTGTCACAACTCAAAGATTATATCTAAGCAGAGTTTAACATTCTTGGTTCTTTGTATTGCAGGCTGGCCTTGCTATTGGAGATCTGAAATCGGTGAAGGATCTGTATGATTTCAAGACTTTGTCGGTGCTTTTCCTCATTGGGTTTATCTCCGTACTTCCAACGATACTGAAAAGAAAGAAGATATACGAGTAACCAAGGAGAAGTATCTCCAAAACCTTGGATATCATTAGCCTTACAGAGGACAAAAATACACTTTGTAACTGATTAGCGCACACAACAGAACAGAAATGTTTGAGCTCTGTCTACTTATAGCTTTATTTTTGGTCTTGTTGTGTTTCCATTTTTTTTTTGGGTCGTCTATTAGGATATATTAGAATGATTAAGGATCAATTACTGATGAAGTTTTGACTCCTGATTATAATCTTTTTAACTGATTAGAGGGAACAACAGAACAAGAATGTTTGACTTCTGTTTACATGGCACTTCTTTTATAGCTTTATTTTTGGTCTTCTTGTGTTTCCATCTGAGTAGAACTGATGATACTACAGAAATAATACACTTTGTTGATGAGGAATTTAGAGACCATTGAGCAACTAATAGAGATAGTTTGGACTCATGATTAAATCATTGTTATATTATTTTTCCATTATAATTGTTGCATATGAAAGAAGAGCTATAATAGAATGACAATTATCTTAAAATAATATATTTATAAAATCCAATTCTCAACAACACAGAACAACTTTAGCAAACCCATGGCATTATTTTAGTTAGATACGAATTGTCAAAGCCACGACATTATATAACAACAACAAGCTACATTTTTAGTTAGGTCAGCTTGAAACCACCACCAACAGGTTTGTGCAACTGGTAAGTCTGACTTGGCACAACTTGAAGCACACCTGGTTGCTCTGCATCACCCCCAAAAAGTCATATCAAAAAACAAAACATGAATAAAAACATACTCAGAATTATAATCTCATATGCCTACCAAGGAAATGGTATCTCACAAAACAAAAAGAAGATTCTATACCAACTAGATCTAAACAAGTCATAACATTTTTTCATAAAGGTGAAAGCTTTTCTAAGTCACAAGTACATTAGACGAGTAAGCGCATGATCAAAAGAAACGTACTTGAAATCTCAGCGACTTGCTCAGGTGTGAGCTTAGCAGAGAAACCAGAAGCAGCTTCCTTGTAACTGTAAATCAAAGCATCCTTCGCAGCTTCTTCGCTGTATATCATTCCATAAAACACCAATCAAAATTAAATCTATCACACAACAAAAAAAAAACATCTCACGAAAACCAAGAAAGATTGAGTCTTTTTGACAAACCTGCCGAGAGCAGAGGAAAGGGTACGGAGATGATAGTCTTTAGGTTCTTCATCGTTGGTGGGTTTCTCTGTGTAGACGATGTGAACCTTTGCTTCTGACGATGCTTCTCCGGTTGATTCAGCCATGGTGATCGATGCAAGGAGCGAGACGATTACGATGAGGTTGAGGATGAGGTAGAGACTTCTTCTACGAACAGATGATGATGATTGCATTTTTTTTTATCGAGTTTGGGATTTTATTTCAATCAAAAAGACAAATGTGAGATTTGTTCCCATCTATGTCAGTTTTTTAAACCGACTTACGATGGACGGTCTGAACTGATTTACTTAGAATCTGGCGGCTGTGAGTTCTCGGCTTGGATATGTTTTTTTTTTTATAACACTGATTAATGAACAAAATTTGAGGACAAACAAATGTGGAAGATTAAACAATAGGATAATGAAATGTCAGTAAACACCATCATAACAACATAAGAAAGAAGAAGCAAGATTAACCAACACCCTTACTTATATAGTCTCCAAAATTAGAAGATGAAATAGCCACGATGGAGTATTCCGAGCGATGTATGACTGATGGCGCCTATCTTGAGTGACGCTGAAAGCAATGGCCGTTGCCGCTTCATTATGCTCCGGAAGAATATGATCGAGACTCCATGAATCTATTCCTGAAATAAGCCAGAGAATGCTGTGACAGATGTGGCTGAGGCTAAGGTGTGCAGTTGGATTTGTTATAGCGTCATTTAAGCACTCCGAAAAAATCTCCAGAATAATGTTCAAAAAGTGTAAATTGTGCAAATATTCCATTGTCCAAAAAAGAACCCACAAATCGACCTCGATTTTTAAATTTCTATCACAAAAATAGACTTAAAAAACTAAAATAACCAAATGCTTTTTTAGGTATATTCTAAGAAATTTCCTTAAGACTCAGTATAGATAACTATTCTTTGCATGTGAGATTATAATAAATGACTATATTTGTATTATGATAATAACAAATTAAACTTACTTTTATAAGTTTGTAAAGTTTTTTCTCTGAAAATAATCCATGCTTTATGATGTAAAATATTAGTTAATTTTTTATTAACCATTATGATTAAGGGGAAATTAAATTAAAAAAAAAAGCACTAAACCCAATTGAGCATATTCCATGGGCCATAAACAAGATTGAACTCGTCAACCGGCCCTATCCTCTTATATTCATACAATGAAAAACCATGTAAATAGATAGAAGAAATTTACGTTCTTTTCTTATAAATCAAAACATACTCTTGACATTTTGGTTTCACGTGTTAAAACTGGACCATCGAGCAAACCAAACACCATGCTAAATCGCGAATTACGCGAGCAACAGCTTAATATTCTGAATCAATTAGAACCTAGAAATTAACTTATACTCACTCTTTATTTCACCTCATCTCAAAGTTTAATACGCCTCAAAGCCATGTAAGCCAATACTCTATACCCAACAAACATGAAAAACAAAACACAAACGCTCGTCCACATCCCAATGTCTCCGACCACTTCCTCTTCCATAAACCGGCACCCAGCAGTCATAGATGTTCCCTTGCATCCAAACATTCTCAATATATCGTCACCATTACCATACTGTATTGCAATTAATAAACGGTAACAATAAAACGTCGTCGAAATGTATTTCATCCACACCATTCCATATGGCACTTTGTTCACGTAGTAACCACCGGTTAAAACAAACGCTAGCATTGTCACCGTCACGATCGTGGAAGCTTTCTTTGCGTCCATGATGGCTGCACCTAGAGCAAGTCCAAGTCCTTGGGAAGCTAAAATGTATAGCAATAGCACGGAAAGGGTGAGGAAGAAAGGGACTAGCCCTGGACGTAGACCGACCATCCAGTAAGTTAGTGTCAAGAAAGTTGTCGGGAGAACGAGTTCCATGGAGAGCGATCCGATGACGTGAGCCATGAAGTAAGATGAGAGTGTATACATACCGGAGGAGCGTTCTCGAGTGAAGATGGCTCGTTCTTGCGGAAATGTGAAGACTGCGTTAAATGACGGAATTACCCCCCAGAAAATGGATATAAAGAAGAGTAGTCCTAGTCGGTCCTGTAACAATATTATGGTTAGGAAACACAAAAAAAAAAAAAACCAACAATATGTTATAATCTGTTTAATGATGTTTGTATACTTACGTGTACGTCTCGATAATCGGAATGCCACCACATGAGATCAGCGAGTAGTGAAGCCGAGATGACTTGGAAAACGCGAAGTGCATCGAAGGATTCGTGGCGTCGTTCCTTTAGAAGTCTGTGGAGGAGAATACAGAGTTGGCTGAACCATGTTGTGATACATGACGTTATTCTAGGTGCGTTCTCTCGCGTTTTGTAAAAACGCACGTTTTCTCCAAGAGAAGGTGACGCATCGATGCAGGTTTTGACGTTTGGAGCTAGCAATGTATTGTAAGCAACAGCCAGCGTTTGTTTCACGTTTGGCTTTTCTCGTTCAGTTGCGCCGTTAATCTGATGAACTCCTGAATAGGTTAACAAAACTAGCTGTTTAGAGAAGTCATGTATAGTAAATTAGTAATCCATACAATTTGTAGAAAATAAGTTAAAAATCAGATAATTGTTTTCATGTATTTGCTAACAACTAATACATAACAAAATAGCCATGATTAGCTGGCTAGACCGGTTGGCTAATTAACGGACCAATAAAATTTCGATTAATATCTATCAAACTATATATTAATGAAAGTGTACCACTCAAGTTATCATCCAAATACCCGAAAGTTAACTGGCCAATGGAATAATTTAATAAAATTTCGTAAATATAAAAAAACGGAAAAGACAATTCAAAGTGGCATTCAGCCAAAGTTACCAAACAGAGGTGAGGACGAATCAACCAATCGGCTTGTCTGAACGGACCAAACAAATATATTTAAACAGCTTTTGACACCAAATTGGATTATTCTAACAAAAGTAAAATCTTTAAACCAAATAAATTGATTCCAAATTTCTTTTTTTAAATGCAAAAGCTTGAGAGTCCACCCAAGAATGCATAAGGTCACCAGACTCACCACTACAGTTCTTCATTGATTCCAATTTCTTTTTTTTAAATGCAAAAGCTTGAGCATCAAATAATCTAGGATTTAAATTCCACTTTCTATACAATAAGCTTATGTACAATATTCCGAATAGTTACTAATTCCTAACACGTGTCAAGCTTTACTTTCTCCCCCTTTTCTTGCCATGACTATCATCAATATTAAAATTGAATTGAAGGGAACAAAAGTTAGTGAATAAATGAACAATGCTTAGTCAAGTAGTCGACAAGTGTAGTCATGAAATGGCATAAGCCAGCTTTTGAAAAGGCAATGATTTTGGAACAGAAATCTTAGTTTCTGTTGTACTTTTCTTTCAAATTGATCAATAAGTTAGGGCAAGTGGTGTGTACTGTTGTACTTTGACGTATATCTAACATTTCTGATGAAAATATAGCAAATACTTTCAATAACGAATAGCTATTCAGACAATATGCTTGCTTAGTACACCATGTGATTATCAACTTTCCAGTCATGAAAAAACACATACAAGCACACACATATCTTAAAGTATATATATATGCTGTAGATCGAATGATCATGTGGATGGTTGGTCTAATAAGATGAAACTTTTTAATAATAGAAAGAAAGATTAAATGTGAGCATATGGTCGTGGAGAAAAAGAACTTAATACCCACAAAATTAATAAATTAAATAAAATGCTAAATTTATGTGCCATTTATACTCCCTATCTTATTACTGCTTTATTATTCTACCAGCCTTCACGCACATGGTATCTATATACACTCACATACAATACATATATAATATGTGGGAAGGTTATGTCATAATTGATATTAGTCCACTAAGATAGATTTCTTAAAAAATATTTGTTTCATAAAAATTTACACGTTTAGTTATATTATTTGAAATAATTAACCACGAATATGCGATTATCTATGACTATTTCTTGTGATCACAATAAGACTGAAAAAACATTGAATCTGAGTTAAGAATATACAATTCCCAACTAGTGCGTATGTATTGGTTCGATGAGGAGTGAGTGAGGGATACTGAAAACCACGAGCTATATGCGGCTCTTTTAGGTGGTTAGAAACTAAAGTAAAAGTTTCACAAATCAAGGATGCATGAAAAACGAAAACTATAGAACATCTTATGAAAGCCATGCCCACAAGTGGAGCTCAAAAGCCACACATATACTATAAAAAAGAGAAAGAAGGCCTGCTGCTTTGATTAAAACAAGGAAAAGGAAGTTTGTATTAGTTGGCTGAAAAAGATTAAGAGATAAAATGAAAAAGCATCATGGATAGTGCAAAAAAGAAGAACTTGTTTTTTGAAAAAGTCGGATAAAGAGGAAACAGAAAACACAGCCAGGGTTTGTAAAACCCGTAACGTCATTTTGTAACACACAGTACGCATGTGTTTTCTATTAACCCGTTTAAGAAAATAAAACAAAGAGCATGTTCTTCTGTTTATTAATTATCCTCTGAAAATTTTGAAGAAAAGCATGGTCTTAATAGTGAAAATGTGTAATGCGATAAGATTTTTTTATATTATGAACGTAAGGAATAACATTTTATCATATGATATATAATAAAATCAGTTCAAAAAAAAATCATAACCTGTGGCATACATATCATACTCGAAAAGAGAGAAAGAAAGACATAACACGTCTCCCAATTGTCCATAATTATTAACATCAAAAAGCAACCCTTCAATTATCAACTTTACTTTATAAAATGCGGCAAAATTAGTTGTATATAAACTTTAAAATAAAATATATAATTATTAGATATAAGTCCCTTTACCATAAAAGAAATTTATGTAGTATTAATATTACTAACTTTTTTTTTATAACACTGATGTTTGAACTTGTCCAACACATGAAACATGAGATACATAAAGAAAAATTAAATGAGATGTTAATAGACACCTACAACAAGATGAATGAATCTCACTGATATTAATTTTACTAATTAATAATATAACGCTAGACTATACTAGTAGATTAGCTCTTTGTTTAAAGTAAACTCGAAATTTTAGTCAAAAACTAAAGTGAACTCGAAATAACAATGCTATAACCAAAGTAAATAGCAAGCCATAAAGACGACCAGAGTCAAAAAGAGACAACCAAATTAAATTTGAGACTTGTATATTTTTCATCGTACGTACGTCGGCGATACCGATCATAAATATGCCATCTATTACTCTCTTTATTGGGGGGTCAAGCTGTTATTTTCAATACAAATATCTTACCTCCTCACAGGATCGTATTGTACATAGTATCAAATATCCCATATAATATAACACCACTCAAAACGACAATTTCATATTTAAAAGCTTTTGTTATCATATCATCAGTCAAATCATGTAAGAATATTACTTTTCACACAAAATAAACCAAGTTTAAGATTTTAATATAAAACCAGAATCGTATGTCTAATCATGCAATGAAATATTCGTTTTATTTTCAATCAAATAATTATCATACACTATAATGCGTGTTAGTACACTATCTACCAAAGTCATGATGTTAAATAATTAAAAATTTATAAAATGAGCAACGTACCGTTAGCAAGATCGAGAAGAAAGTCAGCCGGATTCATCGGAAACGCCGGCTCGTATCCAACGGACTCAAAGTAAGCCATGGCGTCTCTTCCTTTCCCATAAAACAAACACTTTCCTTCGCTCAAAAGAAGAACAGTATCAAACATCTGAAACACACGGCTCGAAGGCTGGTGAATAGAAGTCACCACCGCCTTCCCTCTACCATGAGCCATCCCAGCGAGTGTCTGAACAAGCCTTAGAGCCGCTGTAGCATCGAGTCCAGACGTTGGCTCGTCTAGAACAAGAAGGCTCGGGTTGATAAGTAACTCATGAGCTATGCTCACACGTTTCCTCTCACCACCAGAGATCCCTCTAATGAAAGTGTTACCAACCACCGTGTTCTCGCATTTCTCTAGCCCTAGCTCGGACATAACTGATTCAGCAGCTTTGATCTTGTCGGCTCTTGTTAAACTCCTAGGGAGACGTAGCAAGGCGACAAAAACTAGGGTTTCACGTACTGTTAAGTGTGGGTAGAGGAGATCGTCCTGCGCTACGAATCCAGTACGTTTTAGCGTATGTTTTGTTGGTTTTGCGTCGTTGAAGAGTATTTTTCCTGTGAGATAAGGTCCATGGAGTCTCCCTGCGACCGCGTTTAGAAGTGTAGATTTACCACTTCCCGATGGTCCAAGAATGGCCATAAACTCGCCTGGTGACACCATTCCGGTGACTCCGTTAAGTATCGTCCTCTCCTCCGTTGATTGAGTCTCATCGGACGGTTTGTGTTCTAGTCCCAACAATCTCTTGATCTTACTAGAGTCCCCGGTTTTGCCATGGATCTTCACTCGGTAACATACATCAAGAAACTAAACAAAATACAAATAGTTGAATATTCAAAAACCATGCAATATGTTTATATATATAAAATCAGAGTTGATATGTTTATAAATATACCTTGAGGGTGATTGGTAAACAAGGAGATGATGATGATGATGATGATAATGAGAGAGGATCTTGAGGAGCTGATAAATTTGTACCCTTCATTTGATTATCAACACGGTCAAAACCAGACATTATTTTATTACTTCTTTTTCTTAAATAAAAATTCAGACAACAAACTAAAACAGAGTTAAAGAGATGGAGAAGGCTCACGAGCGGGGGTGAGTTGCTGAGAGCTCTATTTAAGGAGAAGAAGAGGGACAAGAAAGCTAGTGGATGCAATGTCAGCAAAGTGATGTTCACTGAGAAAATAACATGTGGCGAAACGTATAATGCCAGGTGGTGGCTGCTGAAAGGAATTTGGGTCGTCTTTTTTTTCTCTCCATTACTGCTGAAAGGATTGTTAGTGTGGTTTTTTCGATCCATTTCGAATATACTTCTCTCTTTACAGAATACATATTTCATTTTAAGTGTCTTCCATTCTTATTGTCAAACTGAGAATCACATGATCTTTTTTTTTTGCTCTAAAAAGGAAAAGATACACTTTGACGATGATCGATCATCATACGTGTTAGGATGTGTTTAGTTTCTTTTCCTAGTTAAAATGCATGTGTCAGCTGGCCTCTACTTGTTTACCAGTATAAAATTATAGAGGCAATTTTTAACATTTGCACCCAAAAATAAAAATTGTTGAGGCGATAATTACATATCCCAAAAAAATTCTATATAAGGAAGAGAGAACTGGGGAGATATCAAGTTGAATAAACTACTAACTAAAAATTTAATCTATATCTTAATATTTTTAGTGTGAAAATGTTATTACTGAAATAAAACTAAACTATAAAGTGATGAGATATTTTTATGTTACTTGAAAGGCTTAATATAATGACACAAATAGTTCAATAATCAAAATTACAAATGAATGTTACAAGTTACATGATATAATTAGAAAAATACAAAAGTGAAAATGCGAAGTCTTATACAATAATTTTCATTAATTTAAAATAAATATATCTCTATAGATATAAGAATATGAATATTCTAAATAACTAAAATTAAATAATAATATATTTAATTACTGTTAACTGGTATGAATATGTGTATGTATAAATAAGATAAAATGAAAGTTAAAATACAAAATGTATACCAAAGTTGTAAGTAATTGAACTCAAAGGATAAATGCTAGTAATACTTGCTCTATATAATGTGGAAGAGAGACAATTTAATTTGTATGGGCAAGAAAATCAGCATGGCGATTTTAACAACACGAGGTAAATCCAGTGTGTAATGATAACAAATCTCATTAGTCAGAAGCCATAGCCGGCCATTGTTTGTCGACCATCAATATGAAATCATATAGATAATTAAATAATATGAAATTTAAGCATTATAAAATAAATAAAAATTATGTCCAGTCTATGATTAGTTTATGTTTGAGTCTTAGGTCTGACAATACTGTAAATCATTCAAAAATAACAAGTATTTTTTGCTATTCCAATAACCTGTGAAAAACATAAGTTCTTATATTTACAATGATATTCAAAAGTTGACAAAACTCTTGTTTTGATTACAAAAATAAGGTTGCGTTCATTTGTGTATTTGTGGCTTCTATAATTTAATGTTTTGAAATGCTATAAATTTTGTCTCCACCAAACAACATGTACATGTTTCTAATAAATTCCATTTGCTGTTTATAGTCCAGAATCATAGCACCTGACAAGCCATGTTAGAAAAAAAAAAAAACATGGCACCTGGCTATATCTATAATGTGCAAATCTTCAAAAATATGTTTAAACTGAAAACAATATTTGAATATGAAAGAATCACGAAATTACACGTCAAACTTAACTGAACTAATTTTCAAAAAAATAAGGAAGAGAATGTTCCTTAAAACCGGTGGATCACTTCAACTAGGATACGAAGACTACAAGTCTACAAGTCGACAAAAAAAAAAATTCTGCGTGGCTCAATTTGACCAAGCATGTGTTAGGAACATTTTGATGTCATGCTACTTATTGTTCTTTTGCAATTTAAAGTTTAAACTAAAACCTATGCGCATAGTTGTTACATGATGGAAACTGTAAGTACTTTTATCTGTTCGTGTGCGGTATCTGGTGAAGAAAACGTGCGTTAATGATGCTGCACGGTCGTGCGTTTTAGAGCCGTCACGAAACCGTTTCTAAGACTGTTCTCGATTGAGTTTGGCTCAAGAGCGTTGACTGTGATTGTGATTGTACATATAACAAAAACTTTCTCACAAGTCAAAGAAAAAGATTTCTCAGGATTATTTTGTACTTCGTCACTGAGACAATCACAAACACAAACTACAAATCTACAATGAATCTACAGTTAGTGAGAACTTCACAGTTTTTAAGGTGGGTCCTATTTATGAACTGAGTCAACTGACGAGGCGACGCGTGTCGATCACACGTGATGACCCACTCAACACTGTCCTTTCTTTTCTCAACTCAGATCCATTTTCATCACTGCGCTGCTTTCCTTTCTTCAGAGATGGGTTTGTTCTTCTAACTTATGATCCACTTATGGCCAACTCCAAGGGTCATGACGAGCATCTCCTTCTCCCATTTTCTTTTTACACTTCATTATATGAAACTTATGTCACGGCAATATTAAATTCATTTGGAGTTTTGGACTCTTCTTTTTCTTATCTTACCATTTCTTCTCTATTATTCTGTTTTAGTTTATTTCCTAACCGTTCCAAAAAGGTTTATTTCCTAAATATTCCATAGACCATATTTCGGTTGACAAAAAAAAATCATATTTCTGAGTTTAATATTCGTTGAAAAGCAAAGCCTCGTCGTCAACCACCTTTATTTCGTCATAAACTACATTTATGCGAGAATCTACTCTATTAAAATAGAAGTACAAAAAATTTCTTGGATTTTTTTAACTAATTACTTACATATTTTTTTCTTTTAAATTAATTCTAACCAATTCATTTATCAAATTTTCCAAATAATTATAACTAATTCATTTATTGTATTTTCCAAATTCGATAGAATCTAGATGAAATTAATTTATATGTTAAACATAAAATTTTGACAGGTTAAATGAAATTTCTCCATTCAGAACAAGAATTCGAAACGATTAACAATAACTTTTTTTTTTATCTATTAACATAATCATTTAGAAATGGGTATTAATGTATTTGTTTCGATACGAATCATTTATTTCAAATATCAGATTTTAAATGTTAAATTAGACTTCGTTTAAGAATTAAGAAGAACACATAGATATTTAAATAATTATATACAATTAGTTATATAGTGACACATCTAAATATATAATTTTAATAACTAAAAATAAATATTAATTTATAAAAATACTAATATTCGTATGGCCGTGCGAATCAAGTTCTAGTTAAGCTTTCAAATTAGAGTACAAATTTTCAAATTTAATTCATAAAGTCCTAGACTCGTGTCCCATTTCGTCATATACGACATTTCTGTGTATTTCCTTATAGTGTTCTTTTATAATAAAATTCAAGACAGAATAACTAATTTGAATTTTTTTATTAAGCTATTGATTTATTTTTTTCAAGGTTTTTATTAATCTTTAAAACGTTGTGAAAATTGGGCCTAGCACTGGGCTTGTTGTTTACTTAATGAACTAGTGCACCAAATTTGATTCAGAGCTCAATACGTAAATCATGTTCAAGCTAATTTCGTTACAAAAGGAAGACGAAGCCCAAGACCTAGCGTGGGGAAAAGAAAAATGGAGAAAGAGGGAAAAAAACCCCATATACTCCCAATAGAGAGTGTTCAAAAAAAAAAAAAACTCCCAATAGACCATTGAACTCGAGATGATTCGACCAAAATAAACTTTATACTTCAGTATATATCGTATATGTCACTTTCCTAAAATCATTAAGAAAGTTAACTGTTGGAAAATTTGGTAACTCTTTTGGATTTGTTGTTTTATGCATTTAGTATTATTGTGTGTAAAAACGATTCAATAAAACGAAAATTTGTCTTGACTTTGAGGATCACAATCAGAAACATACAACGAACAAAAGTTACAAAGATATGTAGCAAAATACATTGGCAAAGTCATACCTATCAGAGAAGTTGTTGTGCAGGCGGCTCAAAAATACTTTATGGATTCTATTTAGTTTTGGCAAACAAAAAACAGATCATATTTTTATGTGAATATTATTTTCCCAAGTAAAATTTTGACATATTAACTAAGTATTGTTAAAGCATCATCATCAATTAGGTATTCAAAAGTATATTTCATAATATTAATAATAATTGTTTGTTATTTAATTACGTATTTAATTATTTAAATAAAAATGGTTTAAACCAATTATAAAGTAACATTACCTATAACGATGTCTTAACATTTTTAAAGAGTTTCGTCCTTATGAATGTCTCTCTTCTTTTTAATATATTTTTCCTTTTTAATAGCTAGAGATTCTCTTGATGAAGATGCCCTTAGTTTGTCGCCGGTATTTGTACATGTAAGACACTTTCTCAATCTCAACAAGTGTACACAGTTTTCGATTTTGCATGAAGTTGGTTTGTTCACTTGTTATTGTTCTTTTCTATGAAGCATATTGATTTTTTCCATTTGTACTACACCGATTATTTTTACGGAAATGTTTTTTGAGGAAAAACTACATCACAAGTCTCTTACCAGACAGAGCGATTTTCCGCATGAAGCATAGAACACAAAGATTTTGAGATGGATATCATTGGAGACAGTTAACTTTTTTCATTAGCCCTTGTCCAGAATTGCAAGCAATCAAGAGTGCTGAAAGTGAAAAAGTATATGGTTTTTTTTTTTTTATGGTTCCATACTTCCATATGTTGAAACTATACCGTAGAATCCTTGTAAATGAAGACTACTCAATCACTCAACTAGCTGTGTGCGATAAATTCATGTAAGGAACTATAATCACAGTTCGTCTTCAAGTCATTTCACTAACATAAACCGTACTGAAAACATTAACCATATTTGTTATGTTTGGTATGGACTAATCAATACCATCTGTAAGTTTGAAACTAATCGTTGTCTTACTAACATGCAGCTACAATTCAATTGTTGACATTACTACACAGTTCATATAGAAAGCATTTTATTTACTTGCAATCTCACAACTCTCTCCCAATAAAATGAGACCTTTCTCTCTGTCCACAAATACAATCATAGTACCATTCTCCCTTTATGTTCTCGTGCGTATTTTATTCCCCCACCTACATTTTTTATTAGTCCACATTCAAATAAAAGCAATAAATGCAAGCCTATAATTAATTCGATACAAAAAAGACTGAAAAAGAGTTACTATAAAATTAGTAGAAACAAAGCAATAATACTTAGATCTAATCATTATGTTTGGCTTTTTATTGTCACTATTGTAATTACAATTAGTTAAACAAAATAGTTAATAATTAATAGGACAATTATGTCCTTTATTTTTCATAGTTTAAATGGAGAATAAATCTCTGATGAGAGTAAACTAAAGACCATTAAACTTCTCTTTAGCTCACATTGTCTCTCTCTCTCCCTCTCTATCTCTATGGATTCTTCAAGAACCCGAATAGTAACTAGACGCTCTGATCGATCTTTATTATCTTCTTCTTCTTCCTTCTCCTCTTGCTCCTCTAGCTCCCTCGTGTTTCCAGGAGACTCTCCTTTAAACTCTCCAGCGACCACTCTTCGTCTCCACGGTGTTCCATTCTCATGGGAACATCTTCCAGGAAAACCTAAAGACTACTCTCATAGACTCAACCACCGCCGCAACAACGAGTCTTCAGTTATACTTCCTCTCCCTCCTCACCGGAGCACCACTTTTCCGGTCTCCAGTAAAAACAACAAACCTAACAACCCCACTAAGAAGAACAGCTTCCCGGTGACGGAGAAAGATCCCTTCGCGGCGGCTTTGTTAGAATGTTCCAAAGATGACGACGAAGAAGATAAAGAAGAGTTAGATCGTAGGTACCGTGGATCAAGCAAGGTGTTGGTAAAGAACAGCATAAGCGACAGGTTCGGGTTAGTGAGTCTCTACGGTTCTTGTCGGAGAACTTGTGCAGTGACAGAGTCAATTGTTTATCTTCCGAGACAGCGAAAGGCTGCTTCATATGATCATCTGCTTCTTCCACGCCGTCACCGTTGATATGTATGTTTTATTAAATATATATATCTCTTGATCTTTGTAATACTTTCTATATATATTTTTTTGGTAAAACTTTCTATATATATTTTTCTCTGAATGTGACATAGTGTGTGATAAACTTTTTTTTTTTGTGCAACATGTGATAAACTTTTTTAAAATAATTTCATATGAACTTTTAACTATTATTGTATTTTTCTGCAATTATTTGAGCTTGGTGGAACCAAGTTTGAAGGTTCTGTGATCAACCCATGTGAGAGTAAGCCAAGCTATACGTGCAAGTACATACAAAATAACGTTGATTAATTTGTTATAGGCATGGACGTGTTTGTACGTACTGATCACATTTTATTCTGTTGTTTTTTACCATTTGGAAACTGGTGTTATATTTTAACGTGTCTCTAAAGAAATGGATCTTTCACTGATGGTGTTCGCACAAGGCAATAAAAATAATGGAGTTGTTGAGCTACCATGCATGTCTTAAAAATAATTATAAGCCAAAAAATGTTCTTTGTATAAAAAGACAGTGTTTCGTCTTGTTTGGGGTCAAATAGACCCCATTTTCCTATATATGTGATACCAAATGACGCGGGTTCGGATATTTAACTTTTCAAAAAATCAAATTATTCATTGTTTTCAAAATTCTTATTTAAAAATATATCTTTAATTTAACTAATTTTAATTTTTAATAGGAAGATTAATAAGTTTGGAGACAAAAAAAAATTAAGAATGGAAAGACATTAGTTTGATTGTTTTCTTTTTTTGAAATTTTGGATACAACTTTTATTAATATAAAAAATAAAAATTTGACATGCATTTTAAGTGAGTAGTGAATCACCTTGTCTGAAGTTATATATATTATCTGATCTTAAGTTATATATAACATCAATAAAAATATATTGAAAAAATGAAAGAACTAAACTAGAAATATATAGTTAATAATATACATATTCGATTATTTTTGGATATTCATTTGGATTCGGATATTATTTATTCTAGTTCGAATATCTAATCTCTAATTTAATACCCATTCAGATTTTTGTTATTTCATTCGGATTCGAATATGAATTCAAATATCGGATAAAGTGTCCAACCTTACTATGGGCTATTATATTTTTGTTATTAACATTTGGGACCCGTAGAAATAAATAATACATATAGTACAAATATGTAATCTATGCAGTATGCAGTGATAAAAACAGAACGCAATAGTGAAATATCAATGACAATCAATCATTTTTTTACATCTGAATGCTACGCAACCCACATGATGTAATATTTGTATAGTCGTTCAAATTTTATGTCCCACGCTGTAGTTAACATGTCTTGATCATACTTAAGATAGATTATGAACTGTTAATATCAAGTTGTTTGGTTTAGCGTACAAATTAATAATATTTATCTGCCATAAGATCGTTCCATTTTAGCTTCTCTTTGTATTTAATCTATATTTCATGTAAATCATATGGTTCTCTAATGCATAGTCAGTAGTCAACCAGCCATCACACGTACCATACAATTCCAAAAACCATTATTTTTAAAAGCTAATTAACAAATCATAAGTTCCAGTTTAACAATTGAGACAATTATATTTTTCAAATATTAAAACTATACATCTACGGTAAATAAGATATCACAACAATAAATAGTGAGAGAAGATATCTAAATAAAAAAATAGATCTTAGATATTGTGGATATCGAAATATACTTAAGATTGGTGTGAATAAATATATGAATAGTTTCTCATATCTCAATATATATGAAAATGAAAAATAAATAAATCGTTTATATGTATAATACTAATTAATTATATGAATATTCGAAGGGGTAGTTATTATCTTTTTGTAGTTATTATCTTTTTTGAACTTTAAGGACTTATTATCTTGAGTTAAGTGAAAGTTCTCTTTTACAGAAAATAGTATAACAAAAAGTCACATGTGTGAAAAAATCTCGCATCAAATAAAACAAAAGGTAGATAACCAAATTACTAATTCTTGAATTCGTTTTTATGTTTTCGTTCAAAACTAAGTTTGGCGTGGGAGCACCAAGATGAATTAGTGGGGAGCCAAAGAAGCTAAAATTACGTGGGATATTAATGATGACCAACTTCTAAGAATATTACTAGACAAAACAAAAACAAAAACAAAAACTAATATTAACATTGCTTTTCATCATTGCATGCTTTGTATTCGCGTGTGTAGTTTGCTTTTTGACATATTACCTCTCCAGTGTAAGAACTTTATTTTTTTCCTTAAATAGATTACATCTTTCTAATCCTATTCCATTTAAAAAAACATTATGAACAAAGATAAATGGATTATTATCTTATAGAGTGAATTCATCGTTTACTCTATTATAAAGGTAAATATAAAGTTGATATAGGAAAATTTTACTCCAAACTTTATTTTGGAGTTTTTTAGAAAAAAAAACTCTATTTTGAAGTAAAAAATAGAGTGAATAGACATATTCCTATGGATCATCAAATATTTTAACACTAGCTAGTTTAAAACAATAACCACAAAATGTACCCTCAACACATTTGATTTACGTCTCGTTAAAGTTTGATGAGAATCATCACATAAATAATGAATATATCTGATCACTAATGAATTACATCGGCTTATTTAGAATTTTAAACTCATTTAAACAGTGATTACTTTAACTTAAATGTAAATATTCAGGACTTACATATGTATATGGCCATGGGCTTGGGCATGTGCATAACTAAACATTAAAATTGAATATTGGATGAGACAAGATGGACCGCTATAATGTGATTGAGATATATAGCTTGATACTAAAGACACCATTATTATCATCGGCCATCATGTCCCTCTTCGCACATGGAAAATAATATACTAGTACATATATATTTTTAAAGTATAGTACATTGATTAATATATGCTACTATATGTCAACCGTACGGATTGGAGTCTGATCTCTCTCTGCCTTGATCGAACCCATGAAGCGGAGCATAGCCCCCCAAACCAAATGAGCTACATGATCAGGCGTACAGATTGGAGTCTATTTATTTGCGAAGCCTTCAAATCCGAAAACACAGTTTTAATCAAGAGTCTTAAGCGACACACAAGTTGATATTTTCTACACCGTATACACTGATGAGTTGTTCTCCCGATAGTGATAATAAAAGAAGCTAGGTGGGTTAGAAAATATTTCTTCCATTTCATAAAATTAGATGTTTTACGATCTTTTATTAACAGTATGCATTTTAAATTTTTGAATTCATATAATAATACATGACCAAAACTAACTTAAACCACTAGATTGTAAGCATAATTAGTATAAACTACTATATTATATATTGAACTGTAAATATTAAGGATATATAAGAAACTGATTTAAAAAGCTTTGTCTACAGAGAGTAACATTGGAGTAAATAATAAACATTATATGGAATTGATGCTGAATGATATAAAATTAGTACAGTATGATATAAAGCATGAAATAAGTGCAGGCTATTCATCCTTCATCGACATTGCAGAGAATTTTTTTTTTTTTTAATTTAAAAATTGTTTATATATTGATGATCATTATATTATTATCAGAAGAGAACAATTTACTCCGGACGATTATATCCTTCAAAAAACCATCCTTGACGGATTTCTAACAAAATCTTGTTTGATTTATTTTGATGAAAAATCTGAGAGAGATTCCAGTTTACTGTCGGAAAAATGTCAATAAATTTCCAATAATATTTGGTTATTGACAATGTATGAGAAAAAAAATCCCTACAACCAAAAGCCAACTAGAATTTGTCAAAAAGATTCGACGAATTTCTAAAAAATATTTTTTTCGACAACTTTATAACAATATTTAATAATATAAAAATTAATTTCGTCGATATCTTGTCAATAATCCATCGAAAGTTTCCAGTCGTCAATTACTTTTGTTGAGAATTTTATTGAAATCAACCTCTGTTCTGGTAATGTATATATTCAAAGTAAATGATAAATCGTTTCGTAGATTATGTGAATAAGGCAGCTCAAATAATATTATTCACAAAATAATAATTTAGTTGCAGCCCATAAATGTTTCGTTTGCGTACTAATTTTCTTAAACATCTAACTGCGAAATGGAACAAATTGCAATATCGAGATGTATTGGATAAGTCCTAGCTAGAATGTGATTTACACATGTTTTCCTATTTCTTAGGAGATATATTCTCCAAGTCCTTATCGACTTAGGAGCTTATGCTTTGTATAAATACAGCCTTAGTGCTACGATATGAATAACACAAATACATAGTTCATTCAAACTATTTCATGGTATCAAGAGCACAAGATCTCTGGACCTGCAATTTCTAAATTTTTTTTTTTTAACGTGTTTTCTACACACAAGATATGGATGATCATCCACCTCCTGCTGGTGCAATCGTAGACGCTACTCTGCGTTCTCCTTATTATTTGCATCCCTCTGATAATCCCGGAGCTCTTATAACCTCTCCGTGGTGATAATTATTCTGAATGGGCAACTGAATTGTTGAACTCTATTCAAGCAAAACAGAAGCTTGGCTTTATTCAAGGTACAATTGTCAAACCTACAACAGAACCAGACCTCTCCAGATGGCAAGCCGCAAACTCGATGTTAGTCGGCTGGATACGCACCTCCATCGATCCCAAGATACGCTCAACAGTCACCTTCCTTCCTGATGCTCATAAGCTATGGGAAAATTTACAACGGCGATTTTCAGTTCGAAACGGCGTCCGTATTCATCAACTCCGTGATGCCATTAATACATGTCAACAGAATGGTCAATCAGTTATTGATTACTACGGTCGACTCTCTAAGTTATGGGAAGAACTTGACAACATCAAGACAACACGAGCTTGTTCGTGTGCAGCAGCGGTGGATATCGAAAAAAGAAAGAGAAGAAATCAGGGTCCATAAGTTTCTTTTTGGTTTGGATGAATCTCGCTTCCGCAACATACGATCTCAAATAATTGATGAAGATCCCTTACCAGATATCAATAATGTATACTCAAGGGTTATACGTGAAGAGCAACATCTTACCTCCTCTCGCGCAACTGAATCAAGAACAGAGGCTATTGGCTTCTCAGCTCAAACAGAGACACCAAAAACAGAGCCTCCTCCAGTAGCTGCTGTTCGACCCCGTGATCCCAATAGGACGTGCACACATTGTTCACGTAGAGGCCATGATCAAACCGAGTGCTATCATTCAAACTATTTCAAGATGCAAGATGAATTGAGCTACTAAATGCTTTGTTTTTTCTTTCTTTTTTGAGCAGTAAGTGACACAAACGTAAACATCAAGATTTACTACCATAATGATTAAAAGATTGTTCCAGAACTATGTGAATGTGTTCAAGATATCAAGCCCCACGTTACGCTAATATATAGCACATGTCACACGTATATACATAAACAAATCTATGGTGTATGACCCAAGAATGTCGAACCAAAAGCCATAGTTTTAACTTTTAAGAGATTTTACCGATCACATATCATAGAAAATGTTCGAGAAAACATGTAATTACTAATTAGTGACCCCCTTATGAAAATGCTGTTAAAATGTTTCGGTAGATAATGCACAAATTCACATCCCCCTTACGCTTATGCGTTGTTCCCAAGTAAGCAATCTTTCCATATAACAACGATTCTTATTCTCTGTATATCTTCTTAAAACATCATGTTTCAGTGGCATACCAGAGATCCAGCTCCTGAGTTCTTTATTTGGGGCTGCTCTGAATCTTGTCATCTGTATCTACTAAGACTTGCTTGATCACTGTCACATGGACTAATTAAGAGTCTGATGGGTCAGTGTGTGACAATAGGAGTTGATGATTCTTTTTTTTGGGAACATTTGGAGTCGATGTTTTTTTTTCTCTGTTAAGGTTGAGATTAAGCCATGGCTCTTCACTAAACGAAAAGGTTCCAAGAATCTTGAGGCTTATTAGTGTAACATCAATATTTTATGGGATCTCTCGTCTGCTAAATTTGGATCCAGGTGAAACGGCTTCGTTGGAAGTTCCATTGGATAGTCCTCGATTGGATGATTTATGTGAAGTTATTTGGGATGTTCATAGTTGGTTCTTTGGTCTTGCCAACATCACTAGGAATTGCTGTCTTTTTTCTACCATGTATCTATCTACATTGTATTGCAGTTTCTGGGACTTTATATTTTTTTTGGTAACTTAACATTTTGAGTAGAATTAGCTGTACATATTGTTCGATTTGTTATCCGGGATTTTACACAGGATTGCTTATATGATTAAAAAAAAAGTGCATACTTACTGCTACTTAAGGAATACATCAGAGATTGAATTCAAGTTTACCGAACTTGACTATGAAAATGCTGGAATAGATTTGGCATTTTCATTTGTTTGATTTTGGTCAGATATTTGGACGAGTAGCTGATGGATGTATCCTCTACCATTAATCAGTTATCATCAGTCTGGAACAAAAGCCTGACTACTAAATTAAACACAACTAAGCCCCGCAATAAAATAAGAAAATAAAACAAACTTGAAAAAATTAATAACAAGTGTTGTGTGATCCAAGTTCAGTTATATATATTAAGACAAGTAAAAGAATGACGAAGCGAGTTTTCTTCAGCTATTTCCTTGAGTAGAGGGTGAAACATGTCATTGAGAATCCCAACCCTCATCATTTTCAGAGCCCAAAGATCCTCAGTTGGTTTGTCAAAGAGAGACTTCCACATGATCAAAATGTCAGACTCCATTGCATTCCTCGTAAACCCATTCGCCTTTGAAACAGCCTTGGCACATCTCAACTTCTCCTCTACGTTCTTCAGCGCTTTGTGAATACTACTGGTAGGCGTTCCTTGTCTTACAAAGACGTCCAGATCTCTGATTCCGACATGAAAATCCTCAAAAGACGCCATTGCCAGTTTCCATTGGACTGATCTGCCACCATAATGAAACACTCGTGGTTTTATATGCTTCGAATAGACGTAATGAAAAACACGAACAATTCTTTCAGTCACAGGACTATCCTGAGGTGGTTGTTGTTGTTTCAGGTCTTTTACAACCGCTGACAATAACCTATTGCAGAACAATAACACACTACGGATATCATCACACATCAAGAACATGGACTCAGCAACGTAGAGCGAGAGCTCAACTCCAAGTCGCATGGCCTCCTCTCTCATCTCCTCCTGCTTTTCAAAATCCTTGCCTATAGTGTAAAGAGGTGACTGGCTAGGCCTCACCCACTTAGGCTCCCACGATTCGCCAAAAAGAGGATGAAACAAGTCGCGAAGAAGCCTAATCTTTGTGGCCTTTGCATCTTCGCCAACAACAACAACATCTTCTTCTTCTTCTTCATTAAAGAAGAGAGACTTCCAAGTTTCAGAAACGGTAGACTCTAACGTCTCCCTAGCAAAGCCATTCGCCTCAGAAGCATCTTTTGCACACCTCAGTTTATCATCTAGCTTCTTGATTAGTAGTCGCTTGATAGCTACAGTATCCAATCGATCATGTCTAAAATTAGGGAAACAACGTTGTTTCCTTATGAGAAGCTTATAAGCAAGACCATGAAGATATCTGATTACGTAATCTAAATCATTCCAAGCACTCCCGATCAATCCACAATGGACCGATCTGCTGGGACAAATACTTTTTTTATGCAGTCTCTTCTTGGATACGATCTCATTAGTGTAGACATGGTGCATGACGCGAAGCAGCCTTTCAGACACGGGGTCGTCTGGTGTTCCAACTTTGCATATCATAAAGCAGAACAACAACATTACCTTCTTGTCGTCACACAGGAGAAACATGAATTCTGCTACACGGAGTGAAAGCTCAACTCCAAGTTGTACAACCCCCTCCTCCTCTTTCTCCTTGTTCTCTGTCACTAGTGCGTATGGTTCATATCTCGACAGAGTACCTTTGCGACGGACAACGCCACCACCACCACCACCAGAGGTTGATTTTGATTCCATGGAGGGCTTTTCCATAGTTGAAACCAAAAGATAATTTAACTCGTCAGAATTACAATTGAATGAAAACAATTACGCACTTGATTTCTATCGAAACATACAACTTTTAATTTGAAACCCTAGGTCTAGATCGTGTAGCCGTTCAATTCGAAACCTAAATTAAATTAAAATTCATGTCAAGATAAAAGCACTCACCAAACTCGTCGTACACGAAATTTCTGAAGAATATCGTTTTTTCTTCTTTTTTTTCTGGTACAAAGAAAGAAATAAAATAGGTCAAGGGCTCTTTATATACAACGACGTTGGCCCTTTGTCTTGTGTATTTAGGTCATTTAATATTAAATTATAAATTAACCAAGTTCGAATCCGCACAACAACGGTTAAATATTGGGCTTGGTGGTAAACTTACATGTACAATAAAAATTATTGGGCCGATTAGTATTAAGTATTAACATATAAACAAAAATATATATTGAAGAATGATGGGGGAACATCTCGAACTCGTCACCTTGGACATATACCGTAGTGCCATGACCAACTTAGCTAAAGCAACTAATGGTTTTACGCGTTCTGAACCATTTTTTTTTTTGTATATGCAGCTTATGAACGTCTTTTTTCTTTCTTTCTCCCCCTTTGCTTTCGTAAGAAGGCATCTTTCAGTTTTACAAAGATAATATGATACTATAAAACAGTACGTTTTATGAAATAAGCACCAAAATTTGTTTCTAGCTGCCAAAAATCATCAGCTTCAGAGTAGCCATTCCAGATACGATCATGACATGAGTTACTCTGCTACTACTCTGCTGAACTTACACGCCACGTGTCCTTATTGGTTATAACTCCTCCTCTAACTGACTACTCATATAATAACAACCTAACTGACTCCTCCTCCATTCTTTACTTCTTCAGAGTTTCTTTTTCACAGTGTGAGAATCGAATAAGAGGAGCGATCATGGACGACGATAAGGTACGTACAACGAGATTTTGATTTTCGTTTTGTAAACAAAGTGAAAGCGATCGATCATACTGCGTTTGCATTGATTTCGTTTCGGTTTTGGATTTGGATTCATTATCGGAATAGTTATTTGTTCCATATTTGGTAGTTAGAAGTGTTCGTAACACACGTCAATTTTAGCGATTGATCGTAATTTATGTTTGCATTGGTGATTTCGATTCATCAGAGTGATTTTGATTTGTTCTGGTAACGAGAAGACTTCGTAGATTACACACAGCAATTTTAGTGTTTGATTGTACTTTATGTTTGCATTGGTGATTTTGATTGTGACTGGTTCTGGTAACAAGAAGACTTCGTAATTACACAAATCTTTTTTTAGCGATTGATGTGATCGTAATTAATGTTTGCACTGATCTCGTTCAAGATTTCTGGTTTGGATTCATCAAAATATAGTAATTTTGTTCTGGTAACGAGAAAATACTGTAGATTACACACGTTAATTGGTTTTTCTCAGGATCAAGCCGCAAACGATGTGGAACCTTCGAACCAAGCTGTTGTTGAAGTGCAGCATGATGATGGTGAAAATGCTGATGGTGAGAACCAAGATGTTGTTGAAGTGCAGCATGATGATGGTGGAAACCAAGCTGTTGTTGAAGTACAGCATGATGATGGTGAAAATGCTGATGAGGACTTACATGGACCTGACTTCGCTGCTCTTTTTAACGAGCTAGAGATTCCACAATTGTTTCTTGAAAATCCACTGCTGCTTGAAGATCCACTGTTGTTGCTTGAGGATCCACTGTTGTTGCTTGAAGATCCACTCTTGCTTGAAAATGCTGATGGTGAGAACCAAGCTGTTGTTGAGGTGCAGCATGTTGATGGTGAGAACCAAGCTGTTGTTGAAGTGCAGCATGATGATGGTGAGAACCAAGATGCGAGTGATGATGGGAGTGATGAAGATTACGAGCCAACAGATACAGATTCGAGTGATGAAGACTATGATGGTGCAGATGATGCGCAAGCTGAACCTCTCCGCCGCTCTACTCGGATTCCTGTTCCAAGCAAGAGGTTGCTCGAAAGCTTCGAGTCCAAATGAATGATTTAGCGCAACACAAGTAAGGAAAAGCTCTACTTCAATTGCAATTCGTATAAAAAAATGTGGATAGCATTACCTCCAGAACTTTCATCATGTAGTCATTAAAGCTTTGAACATTATCCTTTTGAGCTTCATGTATAGCTGCTACCATTGCGCCATTTGTCACTCATGGCCAAGAGAATTAATCAATAAAAACAATGAACTTTGGTAAACAGATGACAACTAAGAGTGCCTATTGTAAGTATTCTTCAACGCTAGTAGCCTCAGCGGGGAACACACCCTCAAAACTTGTCTTTAAAGATCATCAAAGAAAAAAAAACAAAGTGAAAACCACGTCTGAAAAGCAGCAGGCAAGCATAGAGATGTGGAAAGCATACCACAACTATAACACCTTAAGATACCAATAAACGGACTAAGGTGCAATCATAACTCATACAGCAGCAACTGGTCATGAATCCATTTAGTAACACAACCAACGAATGAGACTTATACGACCAAAAAATTACTAATGTGTATTGTGCTTTCGTATCTCAAAGCAAAAAAAAATCCAAATACACACAAAGTAATGGTTATAATATTCACCTTCAATTCAAAAGATTTTAGTTGCTCTACATACAAGCATACAAATTTATCTTTGTTAACCTAAATACAAGCACAAAACAGACAATCAAGTAAAAAATATAGCATTCATACAGCCATTGGAAGCACGCAACAGATATATTCATGAAAACACCATTCGGATTCTGATTCTTGACTTCTAACCGATATTTCATTCTTAACTTCTAATCTATATTCCATTCCTCAGTTCTAAGTACTAGCTAAGTTTTGTTTAGTCACTTACATGTTATTCCAATGTTAAAAGTTGTTTCTGAATGGTGTTTGCCTTCCTTTCGTCAATGTCGAAGCCGAACTTATACTTTTTATAAGTGCTTCTCCTGAAGTATAAAAACAGAGTTAAATTATAGCACAATTTGTTTATACTCACACAGCGGTAGAGGAACACTGTTAAGACACATGCGTATAATGTTTTATAAAGACAAAAAAAGAAACCGATGTAATGTTTTTGCAGAAGAATGAAAAGTAAACATTACCCAGCATTCAATCTTGCGGTTAAAGCGTTTGCAAGTGCAAAGGGAAGATAGACTAGAAACTGCATTACAAAAACATATCATAAGGTTACACTTTCCAAAACCAGCAGGTTTGAGAAATTGGTGAAAGATAAAAGTTATCGGACTCACCAAGCACATGATTGTTTTCAGTCCTTTCGGCTCATCGCACAAGTGAGCAAGGATCATTCTTCCCTGAGAAGAAAAATACGTAAAAAGGCCATTTTAATGATAGTAACTACAAACATCAAGACTTACCACTACAAATCCAAATGCAAGGCCAGTTCCAAGTACAACTAAGTGACGGTATGTTTCAATGAGATTGATTGGAGACAAGTAATCCCTGTAGAAAATAAGAACCAAACAGTTTTCAACAATGCAAGAGAGAAAGATGCCGGACCTTTTCGGATGAGCACAAAACAAGACTTACCATTCAAACCAAGCCATGTAGAAGAACCACGACAGGATAGAGCTGCATCCAAGAAATCAAACACAACATTTAGTTCTCTATAGCTTTTCAAAAGCTATGTTTCTAAACCAACTGGTTAGGAGATTACCATGGCCGACGCTAACAACATGCTCCGTTTTAATGATTGAACAACTTTGTAGACATTTGACACACTGCCAAAATTAAACCAGCTTTGTAAATAAAAAGACATCAGCTTAAGAAGGAACGAAATCAATCACTAGCCAATACTCTTTTTTTCATTTTTTTTTGGAAACAAACACTGAATCATGTGACGAGAGAACACTGTTCTTACTTTAAATCCTCATGTATTTCATTGGAATTGAATATTCAGTGAAAGTTTCCAGGGGTTACAGACAAAGAAAGAAGCATACCGACAATGGCTGTGAAGAAGTGGCTGACGAATATAAGTGCAATAAGATCTCTCCTCGAAAAAAACCGGAGCATTCGACATAGCTAAATTACCGGAAAAAAAAAAAATCAGATTCCAGCTCCAAATACGATTACTTGTGAGAAAACAGAAATAATCTAACAATGAACCCTTGAGTGATATAACATGTACCTGATCTGACCAAAATTATTACAGATCGATTAAGCTTGAGTTGAGACAAGATCCAGGCGGTGTCTTAAAAGGAAGGAGAGAGTAACACTCTTTTCGAGCTGAAGATTGTGAGAAATGTGTTTTTTTTTGTCGGTAATGAGTTTGTGGTCGAAATAGAAACGAATAGTGAGATCTGGGCCTCAATGTTATCATCTGTTTTTCTATGGGCTTATACGTTTCAATAAATGTGTATTTCTCTATTGTGTTCATAAACATATAAATTCAATTAATTAGATATTACTAATCTGTTGTTGAAATATATATATATACTAGTTTACCTCCCGTGCTTCGCACGGATGCATCTTCAATATAGAAGTAAATTGAACATAAAATATTTATATTCTTTTTCCAAAACAATAAAAATGATTAGGTATGAAAGTTCAGAGAAAAAATATCTCTTGCACAAATACAACTAAAATATTTTTTTGGAAGTTAAAAAAAAAAAATTATATATATATATACATTTTGGTCAATTACAACTAAAATATTAAGATTCTTTTTGTAGATAACTGAGGTTGGTATTTCTTGTAGTTTTTTTCTTTATTCTCCTTGAATATATATATTTTTTTTTTGTAATACATTTTTTCTTTCTTTATTTCTGATGATATATTTATCTAACTTTTTGTTTGTGTGAAAATCTACAAAAAATTGGTGACATTATATATGAAAATTAAAAAAAAACAAAAGTGTATGTTGATCTGAAAGTAAACATAAATAATATCTCTATAAGACTACAAAAATATTTTAAAATACAGAAAACTAATCTGAAATTTGATTCTGATATAGAAAAATAAACATGAGCACGCATTTCTTAAGCTCCATTTTTTAATTAGTGATTTTCAAGTTTTGGGGACTGTCACCATCAGAACCAATAGAAGTTTAACATGATGCAAATTATGTTAGAATATATTTTATCAAATGTATTACATGAAAAGGTAAATATCATAAATCAATTAGAGGAAGTAAGGATTAACATGATGCAAATTATGCACTAACCTGGAGTTTAATCTTCATCAACTAACTCTGCATTAATCTTCACCATATAGAACTTGTGTTTTTTCTTAACCATTGAAAATGATTTTTCTTGGAGAATAAAACCCGTTAACTTGTCTGGTTAGAAATTAAAACTGCCTTGCACTACCCTTTCAAAGAGAGTCGATAGAACCATTTCAAAGAAATTAGAAAATGACATTGAATGCAGATAGAGATGAATATATAGGATCGTGAGTTCAACTTCGTTTGCATATAACAGTTTCCAAATTGTGTGATTATGAAGTAGTGGGAGATATAATAGGAACTTTTGTTTGATCTAAATTTTTCTTTATATGTTTCAGTTACGTTTAGTAACTGTCTTTTTTTTTGTATTTAAGTTTTGTTTTTCTAGATTTGTATTTTTCTAAATTGTTAAACATAAACCACATGTCAAAATAGTATTGGTTGTGTGACTTGTGATTTAGTATATAAAGGATATATATATATATATATTACAAATCTACATTTTTATAAAACAATTTCCATGTTAGTTTTAATAAAACACTACTTAAGCTTAGAGATTAAATGTGAAAAATTAAATTTGCTAGAGTATGTGAAACTAAAAATATATATAACATATTGCAAAAAAACAAAAAAATGATGTAAAAACAAAATAAACATTAAAAAAAAATTCCTCAAACATATATATTACAAGTAAATATTTATGAAATTTAATTTATTGAATATACTTACAAAAAATTTCAATTCTAATAAATTTTTAAACATAAAAATGATTACACAAATACACAAATATATAATTTTCATTGGTTAACAAAAATTAAAAACAAAAATAAACCCGCCCTTGGAAAGGGCTGGTCAGTATCTAGTAACACCTTAAGATACCAATAAACGGACTAAGTGCAATCATAACTCATACAACAGCAACTGGTCATGAATCCATTTAGTAAGACAACCAACGAAGTAATGGTTATACGACCAAAAAATTACTAATGTGTATTGTGCTTTCGTATCTCAAAGCAAAAAAAAATCCAAATACACACAAAGTAATGGTTATAATATTCACCTTCAATTCAAAAGATTTTAGTTGCTCTACATTGATTCCCTCCCTAGCGAGTAGTCTGCAAAACTCCAACAATTAACAAAGACCGAATCATTTCTAGCTCGTCTGCACTAGCTACTACTCCTTAAAAGAGAGAGAGAGGAAGAACCTGAAGAGAAGGAAACTAAGAGGAAACACCACTGATATAGGACTCCTCCTGAAGATATGCCAAATCAAACATCTGTAAAGGCTCTGCTGTGCCTATCTATAGGTAATGAGTCTTCAAATATAATGAAATAAAATGTTAACTTATATCAAATTCCTCAGATTTTTTCACAGCTTCAAGGTTAGAGCAGAATCTTTTCCGCAAAATCCAGCAACAAAACCACATATATCAATACAAAAACAGTACACCAGTATCAAGTTAAAGGTAACAACAACAAACTTGCAAGGGCCCAAAACTCCACAGACTGACCAGTCTCCAACCCCAATGTCTTAACTATGAAGTCTTTTGCTCTTCCTGTTTCCTTCTTTGTCGCTCCATTGGCAACAGAGCAGATTTCTATGCACACGGTTCAGGAATTTGATTCGACTTATGATGATGGCAAAGCTTTAATATCTAAGACTCTCAAAAGAGAAATATTAATTTACCCTTAATAGTTCTGTGGCTTGTCCTCTTGTCTACACCAGCTCCGTCTCCCTCTTGGAATCCGTACAATACGCATCTGACATGGTCACGAAGAACCCTAAATTATCCCTAATTGATCTTAATCGGTTACAGATTCATCCGATAGCTTAATCGTCTTTGTCTCCGGTGGGACATATAAAAGACACGATGTATATGTGTGGAGAAGGCCGGTATACGTAGGTTGTGTTTCATGTTTTACAGCCAAAGGGACAAAGTGAACTAGAAGATCTTGATCGTTGATTTTAGTGGGATACGTTTTTACATTTAATTATTGGGAATTATTACCATACTCTTCTAATACGAGTATTTGTTAAGATACTTATTTATGGGTGGGTGTTTGGGTACCCATTCAAGTTCGGTTCGGGTCTATTCAGATTTTGAGTTTTCCGGGTTCAAAGATTTTAACCCATTCGGATATTTCTAAATTTTGATTTGGTTTCGGTTCAGATCTTTGTGAGTTTGATTCGGGTTTAGATAATCCATTTTAATTATTTTTAAAAATTTAAATTTATTATATGCTTTAAATTTCTTAAAATATATAAACAAAATAATATATTACATATAAATCTGAATAACATATGTTAAAAATATTTAAAATTAACCTATAATTGTTACATATAAATCTAAATGACATGGTAGTTTAGTGATTATTGAACTCTCTAACAAAATGTGTCGGATAGGTAGTGATGTGAAACTAGAATTGCAAAATGTTGATTTAGATTACTTTGTTCGAGTCTGGTTTGTATTCAACATTGATACTCGATTTGGGATTTATTAACATACTAGTGTTTAACCAAAAAAAAAAACATAGTATAGGACTTTTGATTACAGTGTCACACGATCCGACATAAAACATATACGAAGAAAATTTAGTGCCGCTCAAAAAGATGAATATCTAAATTTTGGTGTGGGAATAAGAATAGGTTGTTGAGGAGACGGATTAACATGAATCACCGCTCACCAGTGACGTCTTTATCTACAAAAAATAATTCAAAAGGGTGAGTGGATTAGTATTAGCACCCACCGAATTTAATTAATTATAGACTGAACTTTTTTCTCACAGTAAGATAACTAATCTTATCCTGTGTTCATAGTAAGCTCACTATCTAATTAATCTCAATTAGGATTGTAGTTTCCAACTCCGCGTTTACACAACAGACGCAAAACAGTAGACATCACGTATTCTTTAATCAAACACTCAGAAAATGAAAGAGTCGATAATAAATACTCTCTCCATTTCATATTAAATATCGTTATAGAGATAATTTTTCATTACAAAATAACTATTATTTTCAATTTTAAATACAAAATTTATTAGTTTTATTTTGCAATCTATTTTTCTATTAACTAATATATAGTTAGATATATAGGTAATTATTTTTTATATAAAAATATACAAAATTAATTATTTACTGTGTGCACAAACCTAAAGTGACACTTATAATAAAATAGAGAGTATTAAAATTTAATCGGAAAGACATACCCCCTAATGACAGTATTAGAGTTACTCTAAATTTACTCTACTTTCTACTCCAAACTCTATATGAATTATAATCTTCTCTAATTCTATTTAATTTTAATCTAAAATAGAAAAAATGGAAATTAAACTCCAAATTTGTTTTAAAGACACTATATTTCAAGAAAAAAAGCTTAATGCATTATCAAGTTATATCATCTAAGTCATAATGATAATACATTGTTAAATAAAATGACAAGTTTAAAGTAGACTAAGGGTCTGACTGGTTCTTCCGCCATCACCCGCAAACGCAGAAAACGTTATAAACCGCTTCAAATCGCTCTGAATCTCTAAAATTCAAAAGCTGGTTCCAGCTAGCGTTTGTGGGAGGATAAAAAAATATTTTTTCCAAAAAATTATATAAAATATAAAATAAAATATTCAATTAAAATTTTAAATTAAAATAATTAAAATACTGAAATATTTATATTATAATCAAAAAAAACATTTTCTTTAATTTTTTAAAATTTAATAGTGCAGTTTTTTCAACAAAAATTTTATATTTATCATGAAAATATGATTTTAATATTTTGATAATTATATAAAATATAAATATTGTTAATTTATTACTTAACCGCTGTTGTATTTGATGATAAACCAGTCATAAGTATCCCGTAAACGGAACAATTTTTAACCATTGAACCAGTCATATAAATCTCTTACTAATGCTTAAAATCGCAATCTCCCGCATCCACAAAGGTCCGCAACCGCAACGGCAATCGCTGCGTTGTAACCAATCAGACCCTAATAAGAGAGTGATTTCATCCATTTACATTGCAAAATCAATGTAATAAATATTTTATATTATGAAAAGATAAATTCAAATCTTAAAAAAATATTCAGCATATAACACCCTAAATATAAAATGATTTTTTTCTTCCTAATGAGAGACATTGCAAAAAAGGAATCAAGAGGGGGGAAGAAGAGAGGAAAGAAACACAAATATAAGTCAATAAAGGTTGATTTGTATCGTCGCAGCATATCCACTTGTTTTTATCCCTTCAATCATTCTCCTCTTTACTACTCACTTCCCCCATTACAGTACTAGTAAAGCTTCAACCTTTAGATCTCCTCTCACTCCAACACTCCTCTCTTCCCCCAGATTCGTGGAGAATTCGATTGCCCATTATCAGAATTCGCTTAAAAATCCAATCTTTTTAGGTAATTACAGAGCAAACGATGGATCAGAGCTCTCACGACCGTCCCACGGCGGAGGCAGGGCTGCAACTCAATTCTGTCGAAAACCCATCACCGGGAAGATCATTGGTTCCTTTCTCCGGCTCAACCTCTAGCTCCACAAGCACCACTAGCTCAGGCACCGCTCTAGCCATACCCAAACCCGCGGTTAAGAAACCTTCAAAAGATCGGCACACGAAAGTCGACGGCCGTGGCCGGAGAATCCGCATGCCGGCGTTATGCGCGGCGAGGGTTTTCCAGCTGACGAGGGAGTTGGGTCATAAATCAGATGGAGAGACGATCGAGTGGCTGCTCCAGCAAGCCGAGCCGGCCATCATCGCCGCCACGGGGACGGGGACGATTCCGGCGAATTTCTCGACGTTGAACGCTACTTTACGCGGCGGGGGTTCGACCCTTTTCGCGCAGTCGGCAAAGTCTTCGCCTTTTCATGGTTCCGGGATGTCTCTGTATGAGGATAGTAACGGGTCGTCTTCTTCCTCTGTAGTTGTTGATCCGTCTAGGAAGTTGTTAAACGCTCAAAACGCCGCCGTTTTTGGGTTTCACCATCCGGGTTACCCGGGGATAATGTCGGCTGAGAGAAATCAGAAGGCTTATAGGGAAGATTACTTTAAGGAGGCGGAAGTGGCAAGTGGGAGTTCTGAGAAACCGGGTCAGTTTCAGGAACAGGAGATGGGTCCTGGTTCGGGTATGGGGCGTGGGGTGGCTCAGCCTATGTGGGCGGTGGCTCCGGGGAGTGGGAATGGAGGGAGTGCGTTTTGGATGCTTCCTATGAGTGGTTCGGGTGGGAGGGAACAGATGCAGCAGCAGCCGGGGCATCAGATGTGGGCGTTTAACCCGGGGAGTTATCCGGTTGGGACGGGTCGGGTTGTGAGTGCACCGATGGGGTCGATGATGTTGGGAGGTCAGCAGTTGGGGTTAGGAGTGGCTGAGGCAATGCGTGGTGGTGGTAGAGGTGGTGGTGGAGATGGTTTGGCCATGACGTTAGACCAACACCAGCATCAGCATCAAGAGGCAAGTCAAAGTCAAGCTAGTGAAAACGGTGGTGATGACAAGAAGGGATGAAACACATCTCTTGTGAGACATTATAGTGACCACACTCGTTGGAGGATACCAATTGTAAAAACATGTTTTGGCGGTTGAATGCTGCTATGCCTGAGACGTTTGAATGACAAATATGGTGGATTTGTCACATCATTTATGGGTTTTTTTTTGTGTGCTTTCTTGATTTTGATCTTTTTTTTTTTACGATTGTGGCTTTTGGTTGATAGATATGTGAATATGTTGGGATCTTTCTTGGTTTCATGGTAATCTTTCTACGGTTCACAAAGGTTTGCTTGAAGTGAAAAATATCCAATTCCAATCTTCCCGCAAAGTAGGAACACACAGAAAAAGACACTTTACAGCCTCTATTGTAATAGAAAGTTTCAGCAAGTTCTGAAACGTCCTACTAGCTGCTACGACAATCTGGTCATAGTACTAGAGTTTAGCTGATACGGACACATATATATACCTGGTAGGAGTCTAGGACAGTAGGACACATGTGCTGCCTAGATAAAATTGTCCTCAAATTCGAAACGCAAAGTTGGGGGCGAAGATAAGTGCAATAGACAATCATTCAGGACAAATGATTTGTCACTCTTGATTAATAGATATGTGAGTATGGTACTGGTTGATCTTTCAACAATTCACACAGGCACATAAGATTTGCTTTATTCCAACAAAAGCTTCCGATTCCAATTACAATATAATCAAAATGTAAGATTATATATCATTATTATTCCACCATCAAGCAAAGGATGAAGAAACATGAAAAAAACACTTTACCATAAAACGATAAGACTTTTGTAGCTTAGAAACTCTCTTTTGCTACTGCAAAAGTTTAAGAATGCATACAAAAATCAACCAGAAGCGGTCTTCCTCTGCTGGAAGACAACAGCAAAGATGGGAACACCAACACCAATACTGAAAGCAGTGAAGACAGCCAGAGACATCTTGAGACCTTGGTACTTCATGCGGTCCAAATTGTACATGTGCTTTGCGTGGAGGTAGTAAGGCTCGTCATGTCCGTGTCCTCCACTCATCTTCTTAGGTCCAGTTGAATGGAAGCTCCTGCTCACTGTTCACGAGCACACGACAAAAAGAGGTAATAATTCAACGCTTGGTAAGGTAAAACATAAAAGCAATCAACAAGCAAGTAACTAATCAGAAACAAAACCAAACCTAGGCTACAAAAAAAAAGAGTAAGCACAGAGAAATGAAAATTAATTCAAGGAGATGGTGGGGTGATAACCAGATCTGGAGATAGATGATTCGGATGAAGCTATGATCTTTGAGACGGATCTGATGCTGGTGTTCAACGCCATGGTCAGAGTTGGAAGGAGAAGTAGGATAAAAGATAAACGACGGCGAGCTTGTTTGTTCAGGGGGACCTTTTCTATATGTTAGCGATATAACGAAATGCTGAGACTAGTGTAACTTCACACGTGCGAGCTATAATTTATTTTGGGCCCGACCCATTTATTCTCTCACAAAGCCTTTCTTGACTAGTTTTAGTTTGAGATATGCTCCTAGTGGCAGAGCAAACAGACGATGCTGCAGGCTCTAGTTACATCTGTTAAGTGTCTTAGGAATTTTCGGTTCTTTTTGATGTATATTTTCTTAGCCAAGATAGAGATTAGTACATAACTTGCACCGATCAATACAGTAACTGAAAACTGAAGTTTTAGACCAACAAAGATTTCAAGAAACAACATCTAATATACGTATCCAGACATTAATCTTCTCTACACGAAAGGGTTATAAACTAACCAAACACACCATGTTTCTACATCTAATAGGGAAAAAACAAACGAAACAAAAGCCGACCATACCTATTGACATTCATAACAGGACGATACTCCTTGGAGTAAACAAAAACAGAGTCCATTGACCCGTCTACGCAGACGGTCTGGTTAAGAGTGACATGGCCTTCCTGAAATCCAGATTCTGGAGTTCTAATCCGGGGACATGCTTGCCTTCTGGTCCCATCCAGAGACCTCCACTTTGAGGAGGCATCAGCAACGGAGACTGATGTTCTGTGGTTTCTTGCCTCTTCTTCACAAACTCAAAGAACTCAGCAACCTGGCGTGCATACCTTCACCAATACCAATCAAGTACACATCTGTTAGGTTTACGAACTTACTATGGTGACATTAAAAATAGTATGAACTTACTGTCTCTTTGCTTCAATATCTTTGCTGAAGTCAATATTTGGTTCACAGTCCAAAACCAAAGCAGGGACCTGTTAAAAACCAATGACACAGTCTTAAAGCAAAATCTATCTTTATATGTTAAGCACAAGCAATGCAATAACATTACCTTCTGGATGCTAGAATGCATATGGTTTCCTTCCAAGTAAAACACACTGTCTTTGATATCAGGATGCAGAGAGTTATCCATATGTAAAGACGGTTTACTAACAGAGAGCACCCCATGGTTTCCACTCTCAAACGGTAACAGCCAGCTCTCATGCTTCTCATGCAAATCCTGAAGATACTTCAACGACACTCCACCTTCTTCCGCTCGTTTCCTCAACATCATCCTCTTATGACAAGTATCAGGACTCGCTCTCAAGTATATAAACCCATCAGGTACAAGCCCAGGCAAAGCAGAAACAACAGGATCAAACCAAGAGTCATAGATACTTATCTCCATCTCATTCATCCACTTAGCTTCATGAACAGCTCTCACAAACACCATTCTATCACTAAACACACTCCTCTCCATCAACCTAAATGGCTTAACCCCACAAGCAGACTCCTTCTCCTGCATCAGCCTCGTGACAAACACATAGTTCTGGAAAGTATAAGCATACCTCTGCGGCTCAGAGTAGAAAGCATCAAGTATATTGAAATGGTCAGGTCCAACATCTTGCCACTTATCAACCGGCTCAGGAACTATCTCAACAAGGTCACGCAACTCAATAGTCTCATTAGCTATTCTCTGCAAGAAAGTTGATTTCCCCACACTGATATTCCCTTCAACACAAAACGTCAAACGCTTCTTCCCATTCACACTAGGCTCCTTGATGAGTTCATCGTCTACACTCTCTTTGATAAACGTTGTTATACTCTCCGCGTGGTTCCTGTGTATAATCCCAACAGAGCTACGGAGATAATCAACCATCTTATCACTTGCCTTCCAGAACTAAAAACCAAAAAAATTAAACTCAGCCCAACACACAAAGGAAGTAACTTTTTTTAATTAATATATTAAAAAAGAAGTTTTCAAAAAGACCTTATCTTTGTAGAGCTTCTTGAGCTCTGCAACATCTCCAATACCCTTCTCAACAAGCTTCCTCTGGTTCCTTAAACCCACACCAGGTATCTTCAGCAAATCTGGATTACCGTCATAACTTCCGTTAGAGCTCCGTCTATTTCGACGGTTTATTCTCATTGGCTTTTCATCTCCTTCTTCTCCGTCAGAGCTGTCTCCAACAGCGTTAACAGAGCTCAAACCGTTATTAGACTCTGAGTGGAACAATCTCGACGAAGCTGGACTCTTGGTACTGATTGCGCATCGGTAAGAGGTTGAGAACCGTAAAGGCGACGCCTTTACCGCCCTGTGAACATGGGTTCTCTGCAGAAGCCCGGAGAAAACGGCGGCGTTTGTGGAAACAGAGGATGTGGTTGTTGTCATAGGGGAAGTGGAGAAAGGTTTGGGGTTTTTGGAGGAGGGTTTAAGCCTTCGAGAGAGGAGATTGGGTATGGCGATAGGGGTAGCAGGAGAGGAGAGGAGAGGCGTGGAGCAAGTGGTGGTGGTCTTGTAGAGAATCTTCTGCATTTCACATCCGTAGGTGTTTAGTTGAAACTGTGATGATAAAAGAAGGAGGAGAGGGTTGAATTTGAGAAACCCTAGTTTTGGTGAGAGAGAAGGGGATTTAGGGAAACGAGAAGATAACTAGAGTGGAAAAGCAGAGGGATTTTGAATTGAAGTGGAGACAGAGGAGAGAGGAAGAGAAGAAGAGTGATAAAAGAGTTTAGGGTTCAATTTTCGGTTTGGTTTGATTCGGTTTTGATAAATTCTGACTGATCTCAATTGAAATAAATTTAATTTGGTTTGGTTTGAATTTGGTTATTTGATTCGGTTCGACTTGGTTATACTGAGTTCAATTCCTGTTTTATAAATCTGCGTCCACTCATCCGCCTTAATTTACGACAAATTAGTCTAAAAATGAGATGTTTGATTTTACTCTATCTATATCACCTAGATAACCGTTTATTCGCCAAGACGACCGGCTAATTTAATTTTTAATTATTTTTATTTATTTATTTATTTGAACTAAAATATTATAAATACAGTCTATTATTTACATAATTTTAATGAACTTTATATCTTATTAAATTTATATTTTATATTTATATATTTTATATAAATTTAAATCTTTTCATATTAATTTTATTAAAAAAAATTAAAATTAATAATATATTAAATAAGATTTTATCTGTGTATATTCTGTTTAATCTACGATTTTTTTTGTTAGGCACTAGGTTTGGTTCAGAGTAAGCGGTTAACTTAATTCCTAACATGGGTTCAGATAAATTCAAAATGATTTGGATTGGTTTTGGTTAATTTGGTTTTGACAAATTCTAAAACTAATCGGATGTAGACTGATTTAATCGGATGTAGTTCGGTTTGGTTTGAACTCTGTTCGGTTTAGTTAGGTTAGATTACTTATTCCGCGAAAATAAGTTGATATAAATAGACACTGTTAGCTCACAAATCTCGTTACTTTTATCTTCTATAGTTTGCGGCGTGTGATGGAGACGAACCCTAGCTCTTGTGAACAAAATCAAACAGAGATGGCGGAAGAAGCAGCTAACGTACAGGCCAAGGCATCGAAAGCCAAGGACATACGTCACTACCTATGCCAGTATTGCGGAATCAGCAGATCCAAAAAGTATCTCATCACTTCACACATAAATTCTCATCACAAGGTTTCCATCTCTCTCTCTCTTTCTCTCTGAGCCTTTTAGTTTGATGATGAAGAAGACTTAGCTCTGTGATTGTACTGATTGTGATTTTACTTTAGATGGAAGTTGAAATGGAAAGAGACGATGAAGCTTGTGAGGTTGATGAAGGAGAAGAATCCTCTGGTAAACATAGTTGCCAGGAGTGTGGTGCTGAGTTCAAGAAACCTGCTCACTTGAAGCAGCATATGCAGAGTCATTCACTCGAGGTAGATCTATGTGCTTTGTAGTTCTTTGTTATCTAATTGCATCTTGTGGCGAAATCTGATACTGATGGAGATAGATAAGCTTGTGGGTTTGCTTAGTTCTGAGTGGTGTGCTTATTGCTTACTAAAAGTTTACACCTTTGCAGGAAATGAAAGTCCTTTTTGTTAACTTGTGTTATTGCGTGAGGCGTTTGTACTAAAAGATTATGTCTTTGCAGGAAATGAATGTACTTTTTGTTTAATGACAAAAGGGTCTTAACTTGTGTTATTGCGTGAAGCATTGGATCCCCAAAGAGAGAACTCCAAAATGCGAGGCTACATGTTATGGACTAGTATCAGGCAGGGAGACCTCCTGAGAAGCTCCTGCAAGTAAGCCTTGATCACGCAAAAGGTTTGAAATTTGATGTTCAGTAGCTTGTTTTTTTTACTGCTCAATGCTTCTGGAGTTTGGTGTCTTCTATGTGATGTTGTTTCTGATTGTTTTGGTTTTCTCGTTGTGCAGAGACCTTTTGAGTGCTATGTGGATGATTGTACTTCTAGTTATAGGAGAAAGGATCATCTCAATAGGCATCTTCTTACCCATAAAGGGAAGCTCTTCAAGTGTCCTAAGGTGAATTGCAAGAGTGAATTCTCAGTACAGGGAAACATCAGCAGGCATGTTAAGAAATATCATAGTAATGAAGATGAGAACAAAGATGATACTTGTAATGGTGATACTAACAAGGAAGATACTGGTATTGGAGAATGTTCATCTGGCCAGAAGAAGATTGTCTGCAAAGAAGTTGGTTGTGAAAAGGCCTTTAAGTATCCTTCACAGCTACAAAAGCATCAGGATTCTCATGGTAAGTGCCCCATTCTACTGTCATTAAGGCACTACTTCTGCTTACTAGCTCTGAGCTTTCTTCCAATTTTCAAGTCTCTAAAGGTTTCTTATGGATTTTGCATTTGCAGTGAAACTGGATTCTATCGAGGCTTTTTGTTCGGAGCCTGAGTGCATGAAATACTTTACAAACGAGGAATGTCTCAAGGCACACATAAGATCCTGCCATCAGCACATCAACTGCGAGATATGCGGTTCTAAGCAGTTGAAAAAGAACATCAAAAGACACTTACGGACTCATGAAGAAGATTCATCACCAGGAGAATTCAAGTGTGAAGTTGAGGGTTGCTCTTCAACATTCTCTAAGGTAAAAGAAACATCCTGAATCAAAATGATCACCGTTTTCAAGGCCTAAATTATTAACAATCCTCTCATGATTTCACAGGCTTCTAATCTTCAGAAACACACTAAAGCAGTGCACGAGGATATCAGACCCTTTGTATGTGGATTTACAGGTTGTGGCATGAGATTTGCTTACAAACATGTCAGAAACAACCATGAGAAGTCTGGATCCCACATTTATACCTGCGTAAGTTCAGTCCTCAACTTGTTTTTTTTGTCACAAACTCTAAAGAAACTAGGATCTCACATGGATGTTGATTGGTGGTTTCAGGGTGATTTTGTTGAAGCCGATGAAGATTTCACATCAAGACCAAGAGGTGGAGTAAAGAGAAAGCTAGTTACAGCTGAAATGCTGATACGGAAGAGAGTCATGCCTCCTCAGTTTGATGCAGAAGAACACGAGACTTGCTAGTTATTAGGCACTAAGCAAAGATGGTTTCATTGTGTGTGAAGTTTGCGTGTGTTTTATTTGTCTTTATAAGAAAATATAGAGCATAGTAGTAGGTGTGTAAAAGGTAAGGTTATGGTATACATATTTGACACTTTAGAACTCTAAAGACAGATCTCTCTTTCGTCTATATTCTTTTCATAGTTCAAACTTCGAAGAATAATCATGGGGTCAAAGTAAACAAAACTTGACTATTATACCTTGCAAAAGTCAATGGTCGAGCTAAATAATTCATTTCTCTAAGCTTCTTTGTATAAACTACGAGAAAATCTATACTATATAAAAGTTGAGGCTATAAGCCATTGAGAGCGTCCACGTAAGATTTAAGTCCTCCAATCGTATAATGACACATCATTATTTTAGTTTATTATTTTTAGAATTATTTTTAGAAAATGTCATTGTTTCCAAATTATATTAAAAACGAAATTAATATTCCATATATAATTTAACTAACAAAATAAATATTANAAAGTAGGCTAATAATATAAGCAAAATAGAAATATCGACAAAAAGAAGAAGCAAAATAGAAATACTAACAAAAAGGGTAAAAAATTATGTCCTTTAAGCATATAAGAAATTCAAAGTATCGTTTAAAAAAAAAAGTAAAACTGGTATTAAAGTAGTTGAATAACAAAAACTAAAACAATAAAAGGAAATTTTACTTAATATATAAAAGAAGAAACTTTCTAATATATGAAGTATTGGGTGACTATAAATAATTGTCTAAAGTTCTAAAAGCTTTCAAAATTTACATTGAGAAACAGAGAGATATTGAAAAGAGAAAACAGATATTGACACAATGGTTGCTTCTACTTCTTTTTTGTTTTTCGATGATCTTAGAAAAGGTTTTAATAAGAATGAAAACCTTTTCGATGATCTTAGAAAAGGTTTTAATAACTGTTATAAAAAAAATGAAAAATCTATACTATATAAAAGTTGAGGCTATAAGCCATTGAGGACGTCCACATAGGATTTAAGTCCTCCAATCATATAATGACACATCATTATATTAGTTTATTATTTTTTTTAAATGTTTTCCAAAGTATATTAAAACAAAATTAATATTCCATATATAATTTAACAAACAAAATAAATATTAACATTTTACAAATTACATAAAAATGTTAACTGTTATAAAAAATGAAAAAATAAAAATAAAAACGTAATATTAACAAAACATATTAAATGTAAAGTAGCATTTTTACAAAATGTCAATGTTTCCAAATTATATTAAAAACGAAATTAATATTCCATATAATGTAACTAAAAAAATAAATATCAAAATTTTACAACTTACTTAAAAATGTTAACTGTTATAAAAAAAATGAAAAATCAAAAAAAA